CTAAATTATTTTTTTCCCCACTGTAAGGACGCAGCTAAGCGTCTGTTCTCGCTTCACCAAGGAGCTCGCAGTGTAGCAGACTATGTTATTGAATTCAGGACATTGGCTGTGGAGAGTGGGTGGAATGAGGAGTCACTACAAGCAATTTTTTATCAGGGGTTGTCGGAGCAACTCAAGGATGAGCTGATCTCCTATCCTGAGCCTAGTGACCTGGACAGTTTGGTTGCATTATCCATTCGGGTGGATAACAGAGTCCGAGAGAGAAGGAGGGAGAAGCAATGGGGGCCGTCCAATCACTCAGCTACTCGGTTACCATTCGGGTCAGGAAGTGGACCAGAACGTGCCGATAATTTTTCACCACACGGGATTAGAGGAGGGGTCCTGCCTCCAGATCCAGAACCCATGCAAGTGGGGCGGCACGGGTTAACCAAGGAGGAGCGCCAACGTAGACGTGAGACCAACAGCTGCCTCTACTGTGGTAGCCCAGGACATTACATCTCCGCTTGTCCCCAGCGCTCGTTAAACTGTCCGGCTCACTAAGTTTGGGAGGACTTTTAGCGAGCCAGTTTTTAGCCTCTCGATAGCCCTGTCCGACCCCGTTTTCCTGCAACCCTCATTAACAAGAATCAGAGTTTAGCGATCAACGCTTTTATTGATTCAGGTGCTGATGGCAGCTTTATCGATGCCGACTTGGTGGAACAGCTGGGGCTTTCCAAGGAGCAATTACCAAAAGCCATTGAAGCTACCACTCTGAACGGCAGTCTTTTGGCACGTATCACTATGAGGACTGAACCGGTGAAGATGCTGTTGTCAGGGAATCATTCAGAGGTTATCTCCTTCTTCATTCTGCATTCTCCCCATGTTCCCCTGGTTCTTGGATACCCCTGGCTGAGAGAACACAATCCCACGTTCGATTGGGTGACGGGTAAGGTAACTAGTTGGAGCATTGAGTGTCATGCTAACTGCCTTAGGACTGCCTGTTCCCATGCTGTTCCCAGTCGGGTCATTGATTCTGCCCCCCCAGATTTGTCCCTGGTTCCAGAAACATATCACGATTTGGGTGAAGTGTTCAGTAAGCAGAAGGCTCTGTCTCTTCCTCCCCACCGACCTTATGATTGTGCGATTAATCTGTTTCCTGGAGCTGCCTTTCCCAAGGGACGTTTATACAGTATCTCTCGACCTGAACGTGAAGCCTTGGAGACCTACATAAAGGAGTCTCTTGCTGCTGGTCTCATTCGTCCCTCGTCATCACCCCTGAGAGCAGGATTCTTTTTTGTGAGTAAGAAGGATGGCTCTCTTCGACCATGTATTGATTATCAGGGTTTGAATGATATTACGGTCAAGAACAAGTATCCCCTGCCCTTGATGAGCTCTGCTTTCGACTCTTTACAGGGTGCTACTGTGTTCACGAAGCTTGATCTACGCAATGCGTATCATCTGGTCCGGATCAGAGAGGGGGACGAGTGGTTGACTGGGTTTAATACACCTATGGGACATTTCGAGTACCAAGTGATGCCGTTTGGACTGACCAACGCCCCAGCAGTGTTCCAAAGTATGGTGAATGATGTTCTGAGAGATATGATCTGTCTTTTTGTGTTCGTTTACCTGGATGACATTCTCATCTTCTCGAAGGAGCTTTCCAGCCACGTCCAGCATGTCAAGCAGGTCCTGCAGCGTTTATTGGAGAACCGCCTGTTTGTGAAGGCAGAGAAGTGGGATTTTCACGCCCACACTACATCCTTCCTCGGGTACATCATCTCCAGGGGAGAGATCAAGATGGACCAAGAGAAGGTTCGGGCGGTTCTGGATTGGGCCCAGCCCGGTACGAGATTGCAGCTCGAGAGGTTTCTGGGGTTTGCGAATTTCTATCGTAGATTTATCCGTGATTACAGCCGTGTGGCCGCTCCACGAACTGCTCTGACTTCTAGCACCAGAACCTTCTGTTGGAATCCTGAGGCAGACCGAGCGTTTCTGGACTTGAAGAACCGATTCACCAACGCCCCGATTCTCTCTCAACCTGACACTTCCCATCAGTTTGTCGTAGAAGTGGACGCGTCTGATGTGGGGGTTGGCGCCATCCTGTCCCAGCGTAGCTCCACTGACGGTAAACTCCATCCCTGCGCCTTCTACTCTTGTCGGCTTTCACCTGCGGAGAGAAACTACGATGTGGGTAACCGGGAGCTTCTCGCGGTGAAACTTGCCTTGGAGGAGTGGCGCCACTGGTTGGAGGGGCCGGAGCAACCGTTTGTTGTCTGGACTGACCACAAGAATCTTGCTTACGTGCAATCGGCTAGACGTCTCAACTCCCGTCAGGCCAGGTGGGCTTTGTTTTTTGGACGCTTTAATTTTCCCCTGACGTTCCGACCTGGTTCCAAGAACGGCAAGGCGGACGCCTTGTCCCGGATGTTCTCCAAGACGGAGGAGAGTGGGGCCAAGACTGAGACGATTCTTCCCCAGAACTTCGTCGTGGAAGCAGTTACATGGAGGATTGAGGAGGAGGTTATGGCGGCCCTTCGGACGCAGCCCGGTCCCGGTAACGGTCCACCCGGTCGGTTGTTTGTGCCAGAGTCTGTCCGTTCTGCTGTCCTCCAATGGTCCCACGCCAGCAAGATGGCTTGTCACCCTGCCGTGGCTCGGACTATGGCGTTACTGTGCAGACGATTTTGGTGGCCTGCCATGGGAGAAGATACCCGGAGGTTTGTTGCTGCCTGTCCAGTTTGTGCGCAGAATAAGAGTACCAATCGGCCCAGCTCTGGGCTTCTTCATCCCCTACCTATTCCCAGGCGACCATGGTCGCATCTGGCCCTGGACTTGTCACTGGGTTGCCCTCTTCTGATGGGAACATGGTCATTCTGACTATTGTGGACAGATTCAGCAAGTTCGCCCACTTTGTGCCCATCTCCAAGCTTCCCTCTGCCACTGAGACGTCCAAGATCCTTGTTAGGGAGGTTTTCAGGGTCCACGGTTTGCCCAGTGACATAGTGTCCGACCGTGGTCCTCAGTTTACCTCTGCTCTCTGGAAGTCCTTCTGTTTGGCCATTGGAGCTACAGTCAGTCTGACATCTGGATTTCACCCCCAATCTAATGGTCAGGCGGAGAGAGCCAACCAGAAGATGGAGTCCACGCTGCGCTGCCTTGTCTCCTCCAATCCCACCTCTTGGGTCTCTCAGTTGCCCTGGGTCGAGTATGCCCACAATACTCTCCCTACATCTGCCACTGGGATGTCTCCCTTCCAGTGCCTGTACGGCTACCAACCTCCCTTGTTTCCTTCTCAGGAGAAGGATCTCTCGGTTCCCTCTGTCCAGGCCCACATTCGTAATTGCCACCGGACTTGGCATCGGGCCAGAAAGGCCCTCTTTAGAGTTTCTGACCGGTATCAGCTCCAGGCGAATCGTCGCCGTATTCCAGCCCCCGCTTATGCCATCGGAGACTCCACAGGATCTTCCTCTGCGGACTGAGTCGAAGAAACTGTCACCGAAGTTCATTGGTCCGTTTGTGGTGGAGAGAGTGATTAATCCTGTTGTGGTTCGACTCAAATTGCCTAGGACGCTCAGAGTCCATCCCTCCTGCCTCAAGCCTGTTCTCCTCAGCCCTCTGCTGCCCCCTCCACCTCCTCCTCCTCGGATGATCGGAGGTGGTCCTGTCTACACGGTGCACCGCATCATGGATTCCAGATGGCGGGGTCGGGGTTTCCAGTATCTCGTGGACTGGGAGGGGTATGGTCCTGAGGAGAGGAGTTGGATTCCTTGGCGTCAGATCCTTGATGCTGACCTCCTTCGTGACTTCTACCGCCTCCATCCTGGCGCTCCGGGTAGTCCGCCCGGTGGCGTTCTTCGGAGGGGGGGTACTGTCATGAATCCCGCTTCCTGAGTCTGTTTCTGCCTGAGTTGCCTGTTTTCTGTCTTGGAGTCTGTTTCCTGAAGGTTCCTGAACGCACCCTGTCTGGTTGCCGGGCGATGAAGCTAGGCGGGAGATCTCTCGATTACCCTCACCTGCATCTCATCAGCTATCTGCACACCTGGTCCTGATCATCACCTCTTCACTTCATAAGCTCTGACCTGACATCCATTCCCTGCCGGATCATTAGCCATGAACAGAATGTTGTGTCAGCGTATCAGCCTCAAGTTTTCTAGAGTTAGTTTTGTTGTTTTGTACTTTTTGTTTGCCGTGTACTTACCTCCGTTTACTCTGTCTACAGTTATTCTCCCGGAACATTCACTCCACCCTTGCCTGGTCGTCGGTGGGTTCTGTAACATCATTGGATCTGCCTATTCACTTCCACCAACTCACCTCCGCTGCCCGCTCCGTCTCCTGAATTATCCTGCTTCCACATTTGAGTCGTTAAATAAATACTCCCCTTCTGTCTACTCACCTTGTCCTGGTCTGCTTCTGGGTTCTGCTTTAGAGAATCGTGACAGTCATCTCGTTGAATGATAACAAAGACTTTATTGAAGAATCTTTACAGTTGACCAATCATGGACGAAGGGGCGTAGATTTTGGCTCCCGAACTTCGGCTGGCCTTGATAAAAAATGTTGTATGCCCGAACAGACGAAAAAACCCTTACTGAAGTCCAAAACGAACAAAAACATAACAAAAGGTTGTCATTATATATGCACAAACTCTTCCGAACTGTTTAGGCTGGGAAGCATGCGGACGTCTTAATAGTCCCTGTCTCTACCTGTTGGAATCCTCTTCCTTGTCTTGTGAGAAAGCCTCTTCGCTGCAGCAGCTATCAAGCAATCTCTGTGCCTGAGGCGTCTGACCACCAGGTGTTTAGCCTGAGAGTGACCTGTCTGGCTCAGCATGCGTGGGCCCTTTTCTCTCCCGGCGTCCCTCCCTCCTCAGGCCGGTCTTAGCTATCAGCCTCCATGCTTTCCAACGTGAGTCAATATGTTATTTTGTTTTTCTCAACGCCTCTCTCTCTCTCCTCTGTTCTCTTCTTTCAGATCCAGAATGCTGAAGCTAGGATGGATCCTCCAGGTCATCTGAGACGGTCTGTGTGTTCTCCCTGCTCTCCGTCCGCGACGGCCCCTTCGTCCCCGAGTCTAGTCCCGCGGGGCCCCATCTGCCTCTCCCTCTCCCGGCAGCAGCCCCCAGTAGTGGGGTAGCAGTGGAAAGGCGACCCTGTAAATATGTCTGGATGGAGGTCTCAGTGGCGTCTCGTCCTGCTGAACTCCCTGACCTGCGGCCTGGAGATCTGCGTGGCAGCTGGGATCACGTATGTTCCCCCCCTGCTGCTGGAGGCTGGGGTAGAGGAACAGTACATGACTATGGTGCTAGGTAAGCCAGCTCTGGTTACTCCCCCTTTGTCCCCTCTCTCTGAAAGGACATTAATTAGACATGAAAGAGTCTTCATCTAAGGGGAAGATGAGAGAGCCCTCCCCCATTAGCTATATATCACCCCAACACACACACATGCATGCATGCATGCACACACACACACACACACACAAACAGGCGTGTGCACACACCCATGCTCACACGCACGTGCGCACACACACACACACACACACACACACACGCCTTTGGGGGAGAAACTGGAGAATAGGATCCATCCGTCTCTTCTGTTGCTCTCTAGCTGACCACTTGAGGGATTGTTGGGTGTCAACTGGATAAGAGCGTCTGCTAAATGACTAAAATGTAAATGTAAACTGTTTCCCATTATTTATTACATTATACACTTCTCTCTTTTCCCAGTGTCTCTGCTGTTACTTTTTCATGTTTTATGGTAGAAAATATGATTATACCCCATCGCATAATTTTTATGTCCCTTTTTATTGCAGTTAAACTGTCTGCAGATTGCAGTGCCAATCTAATTTGAGACTCATTAATGTAGTCCAAGGAAATGTGTAACGCATATAAAAGCCAAACAAATTGAAACGTATTCTGCGGGTTGGTGAACAACTGTGTAGCATCCATGAATGATTTATCAGTTGTTGGTGGCTCAGACTTGATATTCAAATTGATTATATCCTCTGTAGGAATGGTAAAGGATAGGAGACAAACCTCTTATTAAAGTGTGTGTGTGTGTCTGCCTGCTAGCGTGCACGTGACTGTGTGTGTCTGCCTGCTAGCGTGCACGTGACTGTGTGTGACTGTTTTTGTGAGATAGGGTGGGGCAGGGCCACAGGTCTCTCGCTATTAGTCCATTTCCCACTGGCCTTGCAGGCGTCATTGAGGCCATTACCTAAATCAGAGGCCAAATCACCTGTTGCTTTGTTCAGGTCGTAATCAGGTGCTAATTGAAAGGCAGTGGGAGACAGAGAGAGGGAACGGCTGGAGGCAGCAGCCCTCCGTTTCACAGGCCTAGTTTTACTGATTATACTCTTTACATGAGTTGCACTTCAGAACTCAAAACTGAAATGAAGCAGGTCATTTGCTGTGCAGCTAGGGTTTTTACTGGTGAGGGTTGTCAGAGGGCTTAGTGTGGAGGTACAGAGGCCCAGTGCTCTGGAGGGGTCCTGTCCTGCTGGAAGTTGAAAGGTCAGTGCCCCAACAGCCCGTTAGAAAATGTATCTAAAACAGCCTGCTGTCTCCTGTGGCTGCTGGCCTGCTGGCACAGGACCACATTTACAAAAACAAAAACATACTAACTGTTCTGTCCCCCTGATGGAACAGGCTCATTTTAGATCCCCATAGTTGAGTTTCTAATCTGGTTCTGGACAGTGGCTGTGGGTTTGTTCTACACTAACAACAGCAGAACAAATCTAAAGATGTGGAGCAGAGGCCTACTGATAGATACAAAGAGGGGTTGTTGTTGTTAGATCTCATTGCCTGCAAAAAGTGGCATGCTGTTATGTTTGACCTAACATTAATACATTTATTTTATTATTACCCCTTTTTCGTGATATCCAATTGGTAGTTACAGTCTTGTCCCATTGCTGCAACTCTCGTACGGACTCGGGAGAGGCGAAGGTCGAGAGCCATGCAACCTCCAAAACATGACCCTGCTAAGCCGCACTACTTGCTTAACCCGGAAGCCAGCCGCACCAATGTGTCGGAGGAAACACTGTACAACTGGCGACCGAAGTCAGCGTGCATGCGCCCGGCCCGCCACAAGGAGTCGCTAGAGAGCGATGGAAGAAGGACATCCCGGCCGGCCAAACCCTCCCCTAACCCGGATGACGATAGACCAATTGTGTGCCGCCTCATGGATCTCCCGGTCACGGCCGGCTGCGACACAGCCTGGGATCGAACCCGGGTCTGTAGTGATGCCTCAAGCACGGCGATGCAGTGCCTTAGACCGCTGCACCACTCGAGAGGCCCACAGTTGTTCAGGTTTAAATATAGACACCACACCACTGGCTCTGTGTATATATAGTCAATGTGCTGCAGTGGATTCTTTGTGTAGGCGATGTGAATAGTTGCATTATCCTGTCGCCAGCAAATGGCAATTACAGCTCCAATGGACGGATAATATGATGTCTTAACGTACACTCCACTCTCCCTCTCTGTAAACAGCTGCATGCAAACGGGAGAAAAAATGTCTTTGTATCGTTCCGACACAACCCGTAAACCTGATCTGGAAATGGCACAAAACCTTGTTCACTTTCCCCCTTAGCTTCTTCTAATGGAACGGCCGAGTGTTAAGTGAATGGAGATGGATATTGTGTCCTGGAGGCTGAAGGCAAATTTTCCTAGCAGTAGTGTCAGATTCTCAGATGCACTCCATCTACTTTATCTAATGGCTACTTCTCTGGATTTATACTTCCCAGTTGCCTCTCTTTAATTCTTTAATCTACTCTTCTCTGTCTCTGTCAGGCTTTCTGGAGAGTGGCTCAGGGGCATGTCTCATGTTAGAAAAGCACATTATAGTGTGTGTCCTGTATTTGAGTTGCAAAGCACATGGTGGGGTGTGTATACTGCTTATAAGTTAGAGAGCACATGTGGTGTGTGTGTGTATTCTATATGAGAAAGCACATTGCTGTGTGTGTACATACTGGGATTGTATGTCAAATCAAATGTATTGGTCACATACACATATTTAGCAGATGTTATTGCGGGTGTAGTGAAATGCTTGTGGTGTGGTGAGGGAAAGAGAGCTCATATTTAGCGGAGTAGGACTGTGTGTGAGAGTTCAGACTGTACCATCATGCTCTACAGTCATGGTCAAAAGTTTTGAGAATGACACAAATATTAATTTTCACAAAGTCTGCTGCCTCAGTTTTTATGATGGCAATTTGCATATACTCCAGAATGTTATGAAGAGTGATCAGATGAATTGCAATGAATTGCAAAGTCCCTCTTTGCCATGAAAATGAACTCATGTCAGTGATTCTCTCGTTAACACAGGTGAGAGTGTTGACGAGGACAAGGCTGTAGATCACTCTGTCCTGCTGATTGAGTTAGAATAACAGACTGGAAGCTTTAAAAGGAGGGTGGTGCTTGAAATCATTGTTCTTCCTCTGTTAACCATGGTTACCTGCAAGGAAACACGTGCCGTCATCATTGCTTTGCACAAAAAGGGCTTCACAGGCAAGGATATTACTGCTAGTATGATTGCACCTAAATCAACCATTTATCGGATCATCAAGAACTTCAAGGAGAGAGGTTCAATTGTTGTGAAGAAGGCTTCAGGGCGCCCAAGAAAGTCCAGCAAGCGCCAGGACCGTCTCCTAAAGTTGATTCAGCTGCGGGATCGGGGCACCACCAGTGCAGAGCTTGCTCAGGAATGGCAGCAGGCAGGTGTGAGTGCATCTGCACGCACAGTGAGGCAAAGACTTTTGGAGGATGGCCTGGTGTCAAGAAGGGCAGCGAGGAAGCCACTTCTCTCCAGGAAAAACATCAGGAACAGACTGATATTCTGCAAAAGGTACAGGGATTGGACTGCTGAGGACTGGAGTAAAGTCATGTTCTCTGATGAATCCCCTTTCCGATTGTTTGGGGCATCCGGAAAAAAGCTTGTCCGGAGAGGACAAGGTGAGCGTTACCATCAGTCCTGTGTCATGCCAACAGTAAAGCATCCTGAGACCATTCATGTGTGTGGTTGCTTCTCTGCCAAGGGAGAGGGCTCACTCACAATTTTGCCTATGAACACAGCCATGAATAAAGAATGGTAACACATCCTCCGAGAGCAACTTCTCCCAACCATCCAAGAACAGTTTGGTGACGAACAATGCCTTTTCCAGCATGATGGAGCACCTTGCCATAAGGCAAAAGTGATAACTAAGTGGCTCGGGGAACAAAACATCGACATTTTGGGTCCATGGCCAGGAAACTCCCCAGACCTTAATCCCATTGAGAACTTGTGGTCAATCCTCAAGAGGCGGGTGGACAAACAAAAACCCACAAATTCTGACAAACTTCAAGCATTGATTATGCAAGAATGGGCTGCCATCAGTCAGGATGTGGCCCAGAAGTTAATTGACAGCATGCAGGGGCGGATTGCAGAGGTCTTGAAAAAGAAGGGTCAACACTGCAAATATTGACTCTTTGCATAAACTTAATGTAATTGTCAATAAAAGCCTTTGACACTTATGGAATGCTTGTAACTATACTTCAGTATACCATAGTAACATCTGACAAAAATATCTCATAACACTGAAGCAGCAAACTTTGTGAAGACCAATACTTGTGTCATTCTCAAAACTTTTGACCACGACTGTACACACTGGATTGTTATAAAGGGCCTCCAAAGCTGTGGCAGCCAGGCAGAAATGTGACTGAGGGTCTGACTGCAGTGACCCATTCTGTATGTCTCTGTCTCTGTCTCTGGCCTTCCGTACGCCTGTCTTTCCGTCCGTCTGTCTGTCTGTCTGTGGGGCTGCTCCACTGAGAGCCTGTCAACATGAACTAAACCCCCAACCAACAAACCAACCACATATTCTTTACCTTAGGAAATGTTTTCCTGGGAACCATTACACAACTTAATGCCAATAAAATAGTATCTGGTTTCTTTCATTTCATTGTGTAACAGTTTCCAACAAAGTGTTGTTGTCAGATATCCATCCAGGTAGATAAAACCCATACATAAAAGGTAATTGTCTGGGAATGGAGTAATGGAATTTCTCTATTCATACAGTATACTCTCCAGTCTCCACACATATTTCATCAGCATGACACTTATGGCATCCCTCATGTGGATTTAGTTAATATAATTGTATTTTTATTCTCTATGGAATTTGAAACCATGTTTTTAAAAGAAGCATTCCTTGCATGCTCCCATTGTAAAACCAGAGGCGTACATCTGGCCATTGTGGGGAATGTGAGTTGAATGTGAGCTGTGTTGCTCCACAAGCAGCCTTTCTCATGAGGTGTTCCAATTAGCCCAAGCTAGCAGTGGGGAGCAGTGGGGAGGAGAGGGAGGTTGATGGTGAGTTAGCTTGGGGCACAGAACCATTGGTAGTCAGCCTTCACTAGCACTCAAAGAGATGGATGGAGCAGTGAGGGGGCCAGTGGGGCCACAGAGCCTGCCTCCAAGCCCTGTCAGCATAGGGAAGGTAGTGAAATAGTAAGCTGGAAGATACCAGAAAACATCAGATGCAGCCAGGACATTTGTTGGATTGCAGATTTCCCAGTTCACAGGTAAATATTGTGGTAAAACTCAAATCCAATAACTATTATGTTGGCTTTGACTTTGATACTGACAACCAATTAATCAACATCACTAATTCCCTCCTTTTTCTCCCCAGGTATTGGCCCAGTGTTAGGTCTCATCTTCATCCCTCTGATTGGCTCAGCCAGTGACCATTGCAACAGCAGCTACGGCCGCCGCCGGCCCTTCATCTGGCTGCTGTCCCTGGGCGTCCTCTTAGCCCTCTTCATCATCCCCCATGCCGACCTGCTGGCTGCCTACTTCTCCTGGGGCGGACGCACCCTGCAGGTGGCCTTCCTCATTCTCGGTGTGGGCCTGCTCGACTTCTGTGGCCAGGTGTGCTTCACGCCGCTGGAGGCGCTCCTGTCTGACCTGTACCGCGATGAGGAGGACTGCAACCAGGCCTTCGCCATGTTCTCCTTTATGGTCAGCCTGGGAGGCTGCGTGGGCTACCTACTGCCTGCACTGGACTGGAGCCGGGGCCTGCTGTCCGTCTACCTGGGCGGCCAGGCAGAGTGCCTCTTCTTCATGCTCATCCTCATCTTCGTGACCAGCGTGCTGATCACCATGAAGGTGTTGGAGGAGTCGCCGTGTGCCGGCGCCGCGGCCCTGGAGCCCGGTCCTCTCTTGGAGGCAGGCCGCTGTGGCGTGCCGCGCTCCTGCTGCTACCTGCTCAAGTGCAAGCTGCGGCTGCTCAAGTTGGATCCGCTGCTGTGCCTGCTGAGGACGTGCTGGTCCATGACGCCGGTCATCTACCGCAGCTACTGCCACGTGCCCCGGGTGATGAGGCAGCTGTGTGTGGCCCAGCTCTGCAGCTGGATGGCTGTCATGTCCTTCATGCTCTTTTATACAGACTTTATGGGGGAGGGGCTGTACGAGGGCATGCCCAGCGCTGCCCCCGGGACCGCCTCCAGGCAACGCTACGACGACGGTGAGTTGACTCTCTTTTTGTAGATATACTATGTGATTCTATCACTAACTTTGGCAGGGCAAGCTTCAGAGTGCCTCTCCATCTCTCATGTAGACACTATTTGATATTATCACATAAATACTTTGGCTGGGCAAGCTCTGCTTCATTGGGACTAGATCCTTGATCGTTGATGGATTCACAATCAGAGAACCCAAAGTTCTCAAATGCCCAATAGAGCAGTGGTGTAAAGTAACTAAGTAAAAATAAGTTGAAGGACTACTTAAGTCGTTTTTTTGGGGTACCTGTACTTTACTTTACTATTTATATGTTTGACAACTTTTAATTTTACTCCACTACATTCCTAAATTAAAAATGTGTTTTTTACTCCCATACATTTTCCCTGACACCCAAAAGTACTTGTTGCATTTCGAATGCTCAGGCAGGACAGCAATATGGTCCAATTCAAGCACCTATCAATATAACGTGTTGCCATGCCTACTGCCTCTGGACCATAAATTATGTCTGAGTGTTGGAGTGTGCCCCTGGGCTGTCCCTAAATTTAGAAAAACAAGAACATTGTGCTGTCTGTTTTTTTCTTAATATAAGGAATTTGATGTATAGCATTTACTTTTACTTTTACTCAAGTATGAAAATGTACTACATTTCCACCACTGTACACTGTACATTTCAATCCAGATACTGTATGTGCTTTTACGAAGATAAAAAAAACATGTAGGCTATGAGGATTACACGTTTATATTCGTAGGTACATCCATCGTAACAAGAAATAGATGACAATGGTGGTCATTTCAACTTGTTGTATTTTTTCCCAACCGCTATGACTGATTGGTGGCACTGTCCGCTAAGACAGTTGGCTCATAGTTGTGAGTTCTAATCCCACATGGGGCAGATATATATTTTTTCTTCAAATCCTTTATTTACAATATTCATCCTGTGCCCACACACTTCTAATTCTGAAAAGTGAAAGCATACCTGTGAGAGGGGTTGCCCTGGTAGTAGTTGTAGGATTTTATACAGTACCCAAAACCAATCTATGAGTTAATTTGACTACTGGAAAAAGAGCTACTGCAGTGGGGTTTGGATTGAATTGAGCGCCTAATCTTCATTTTCAAGGTGACGATTGCACTTTTCTTCCCAACACAATACCGCAATACATTTTAGTCCACATTTCAAATATTTTGTTGAAACTAACTGTCAAGAGCCGTATTTGCTTGTAATGTACATCATTTTATTATCAGAGCGTGCCAGTGGTCTTCTAGTAAGTATGTTTTAGTGAGAAAGTGTTGGGATCAGGTACAACTATATTTACCCACCCCCAAAATGAATATGTATGATCAATTCCCCCCACCCACAACTTCTCACCTCAATGCATTTTTTTTTTATTTGAAGGGTTTGGGCAAAGGCTGAAATTGGGGTTGAGAGTAAAAGGCGCTGCATGGTCAATCCGACGTCTGGATTGGCCGTGCAGCATTTACATTGATAAGGCCTCTGCAGAAGTCAGGGCATTCATACGTATTGTGCTTCTCAGAGCAGCACAGAGCTGTTGTGCAGAGCTGTTGTCAAGGAAGTGAGTTTGTGTTTACACAGGACCTCCTTTCCCCACCTACCATCAACCAATCATGTCAATGCGGAGCTATACGTAGCTATATGGAGCCCTCCGCGTTGTTAAAAAATGTGGGAAGTGCATGACGATGCGGTATGGAGCTCAATTTGGCCTCTGCATGCCTCCAGAGGCTCCACAATTGCGTCACACCCTCCATACGGAGCCTCCGACCACATTTTCAGATCAACCATAAATTGGCTTTTACCCTTTAATAGTGTGGTTCATAATCCCCTACACGCTTAGAAAAAAGGTTGGTTATAAAATAGAACCCTTTTTGGTTCCAGGTAGAACCCTTTTGGGTTCCATGTAGAACACTCTGTGGAAAGGGTTCTACATGGAATCCAAAATAGTTGGTGGGACCCAGACCTGGGTTTAAATACTAGTTGAATTCTTTGGAGCGTTTGCTCTAGCCTGCCTGGAGTGCCAGATGGGCAGGGTTTTCAGTTTTGGGACTATTCTATTGGTCCATTAAGCCATGCAAGCTCAATCAAGCACAGCTTAAGTATTTGAAAATATATCATATAGTTTTTTTACCTAGATCTGGTGGGACTGGAGCAAGAGCCACCGCCTCAGCAAACACAGGCCTCCTCCTTCCTCGCCCGCAGAGCTCTCACTCAGGGTTTATTTAATGTTAATTTGGTCTGTGATGGTTTCCGATACAGTCCAGTCAAACTGTTTGCTGACTCAACCGTTTGCTGGTCTTTAAATTCCTCACAGAGCACATCTGTTCTGTGTGTTGATGGCTTGTGCAAACAGAATTGCAAAACACATAAAGAACCATTACATATATAGGTTAATCTGTGGTGCTGTATCTTTAGACAGGTTGAAAGTATGATGTGAAATGGAAAAAACACACTTATAACACAAATCATAACCCGGCTCCTACAGGGGTATTTTTGAATACTTAGTGTCCGGATTAGGTTACTGGTTGTATTTTACATTTGCAACCGCAGCAGGTTGTGGTGTATTAGTACTGTGTTTGACCTTGTTCTTGGGTTGTGCCTGTTTGTGTATGCATGAACCAAGGACGATTAGTAATCTAATGGCTAGCTAACTAACCAGAATTAGAATAATGTAGAATTACTGTAACCAATAACCTAAATGTTAGGGCATAGAATTAATATAACATAATATTTTATCTTAATTTGTTGCCACAATTTCAATCCTGTCTTGCAGGCATCCGTATGGGCAGCCTGGGCCTGTTCCTGCAGTGTGCTACCTCAACTGTCTTCTCCCTGCTCATGAGCCGACTGGTCCGCCATTTTGGCTCGCGCCGGGTCTACCTGAGCAGCATGGTGAGCTTCACCATCTCTGCCCTGGTCATATGTATGTCCAAGAGCGTGGTCCTGGTCACCCTGATGTCAGCTCTGACAGGCTTTGCCTACGCCACGCTGCAGACGCTGCCCTACACCCTCACCTGCCACTACCACAAGGAAATGGAGGTAAGGACAGAAAGGCACACATACATAAAGGACTCTGCGGTCCCTGCACTGAGAATCGTGTACAGCTCTGGAAAAAAGTTAATTATCAGTTTCTCTGGTTTTACTATTTATAGGTATGTGTTTGGGTAAAAATAACATTTTTGTTTTATTCTATAAACTACTGACAACATTTCTCCCAAATTCCACATTTTTTTGTCATTTAGAACATTTATTTGCAGATAATGACTGGTCAAAATAACAAAAAAGATGCAGTGTTGTCAGACCTCGAATAATGCAAAGAAAATTAGTTCATGTTCATTTTTAAACAACACAATACTAATGTTTTAGTTCAGAAATCAATATTTGGTGGAATAACCCTGATTTTCAATCACAGCTTTCATGCGTCTTGGCATGCTCTCCACCAGTCTTTCACATTGATGTTGGGTGACTTTATGCCACTCCTGGCGCAAAAAATCAAACAGCTCGGCTTTGTTTGATGGCTTGTGACCATCCATCTTCCTCTTCCTCACATTACAGAAGTTTTCAATGGGGTTCATTCAGGTCTGGAGATTGGGCTGGCCATGACAGGGTCTTGATCTGGTGGTCCTCCATCCACACCTTGATTGACCTGGCTGTGTGGCATGGCGCATTGTCCTGCTGGAAAAACCAATCCTCAGAGTTGGGGAACAATGTCAGAGCAAAAGGAAGCACGTTTTCTTCCAGGACAACCTTGTATGTGGCTTGATTCATGCGTCCTTCACAAAGACAAATCTGCCCGATTCCAGCCTTGCTGAAGCACCCCCAGATCATCACCGTTCCTCCACCAAATTTCACAGTGGATGCGAGACACTGTGGGTTGTAGGCCTCTCCAGGTCTCCATCTAACCATTAGACGACCAGGTGTTGGGCAAAGCTGAAAATTGGACTCATCAGAGAAGATGACCTTACTCCAGTCCAATCCTTATGGTCTTTTGCAAACCTCAGCCTGGCTCTTCTTTGCTTCTCATTGATGAAGGGCTTTTTTTCTAGCTTTGCATGACTTCAGCCCTGCCCCTAGGAGCCTGTCTCGAACCGTCCTCACCGTGCACTTCACCCCAGCTGCCGTTTACCATTCTTTTTGTAGGTCACTTGATGTCATCCTACGGTTGTTGAGTGACATTCAAATGAGTTGGCGGTCATCCCGGTCAGTAGAGAGTCGTTTTCGCCCTCTGCCGGTCTGTAGCTTTGTTGTCCCCAATGTCTGCTGCTTGACCTTGTTCTTATGAACCGCCGTCTTTGAAATTTTAAGGATGGAAGCAACCTGACGCTCACTGTATCCCTCTGCCAGTAAAGCCAGAATTGAAACCTTCTTTTCCTCACTCAAAACTTTCCTTTTCAACTCTTTTGGCATGGTCAATAGTTATTTTTTAAAATTAATATTACTTTTGAGGTACGATTAGCACTGTTTTTGCCTTCCAGCTGGTCCTATTGCAAGAGGATAGTGACGACCACAGCAGTGGTTTTTATACTTTTCCTCGTTAAATAGGATTTGGTTCAGGTGATAACCTAATCAGTACCTAATTCAGTAGAATGAGGTGTGCCTGTGTTGGAATTCAACAGACACTGGAATGGAATGGCTGTCATACATGTAGAGATGCTGATTTAAGAACATTTTGCAGTGGTCTCTTAATTTTTTCCACAGCTGTATATGGGTAATTCTATAAACTAGGATTCCTACAATGAACAACTTGTTACAGCTGTTGATAAATCATTGATAATAATCTGCCTTTTTCATGTCATTACATTAAGATATAAAGGGGGATCATAGCTATATTCAATCAAATTAACAAGTTGATTTAAAACCTATGTTTAACCCTTCATCATTGTTGGTGTCTTGACAGATTTGTCCAAAATCATGAGCCATAAAACATTACTTTTCTGTCCTTGCATTTAGGGCAGTGTAAATTGTCCTTATCATATATTAAGCATTAATCAGTTAAATTAGACATTGAACTTGAACCCTGTAAGAATCCTGGATCTAGGCCTCCCGAGTGGCGCAGCGGTCTAAGGCACTGCATCACAGTGCTTGAGGCATCACTACAGATCCGGGTTCGATCCCGGGCTGTGTCGCAGCCGGCCGCGACCGGGAGACCCATGAGGCGACGCACAATTGGCCCAGCGTCGTCCGGGTTAGGGGAGGGTTTGGCCGGCTGGGATGTCCTTGTACCATCGCGCTCTAGCGACTCCTGTGGCGGGCCGGGCGCATGCACGCTGACACGGTCGCCAGTTGTACGGTGTTTCCTCCGACACATTGGTGCGGCTGGCTTCCGGGTTAAGCAAGCAGTGTGTCAAGAAGCAGTGCGGCTTGGCAGGTTTGTGTTTCGGAGGACGCATGGCTCTCGACATTCGCCTCTCCCGAGTCCGTACGGGAGTTGCAGCGATGGGACAAGACTGTAACTACCAATTAGATATCACGAAAAAGGGGGTAAAAAGTACCATAAAAATAAAATAGAATCCTTGATCTAGCAGTGTAAGTACAGGTACATAACATTTCGTGTCTCCTTATGTTATGGGGTGAAAACAGTTTTCATGGGCACACAAATCCAAAATAATGTATGCATTGCAAAATCGAATGCTTCTAACCAATAAAGAGTCACCTTACCTTGATACTTAACACCTACATCGATACTGTCATTAACGTGGTTCTTCAATAATTATATAATATACACCGTGATATTTTCACACATCATCATCTGATCCAGGAAGGAATTTTCCGAATGACAGTCAAGTGAGGAACAGCTGTTATGATAGCACATGCCATGCAACAACAGCCCAAGTGCTGGATAAAGGAATGCAAGGAATGTCCAGAATATTTTGGTGTCTCATTCGTTTCACTGGTGAAGAAGGTTGTGTCTGGATCCACTGTTGGATCTAATATTCCTAGCGAATTGATGTTGATCATCTGTTGTTGTCTGCTTGATTTACAGCAGGGTCTCCTTAGATTTAACAGAGAAAGCATCAAGGTTCATGTTCATATGTTTTTGTGCCTCGGATTGGACACTGAGTCTACTGTGTGCAATTGTATAGGATAGACTTGTGCAACACCCAACACTATTCCTATTAATTATTCTGGATATAATGACAACAAATTACATAGTCTAGTGGGCTTATTCACAAAATGATCTGGTAATGAAATAACATGACAAATACATTTTGTTTTCCATGTTAGACCTGCAATTTTAAACAATACAAGGGGCTTGAAGTAGCCTTCTTCAACTAGAATTTGGAGCTCAGAAATTCAAGTACTGGAATAGGCCTACCTTGAAAATCAGACATTTCCTCAATTTGGTACTTGAAAAGTCCTTGTAATTATTGTAGGCAATTTATGTTCTCCTGCTCCTTTATAATTATCTGTGATTTCATTTTTGATCAATTTTTGTGAGAGATGTGGCCACTTGTTTCCCGCCGCTTCAATTGAAGGGTGTTGCGCTACTCTGTTGCGGTAAAACCACGTGGATTATTATGAGGACGACAACATCTAATGTTGGCTCCAACTTGGCTTTCCATACAAATCCTTCCATTAAAAAAGGAACCTACTTTTTGGTCACTTTCTCATTATAAAAACAGCGATGGTGAGATTCAAATGGTGAGATAAATGCTACCGCTATTCATGGCTTTATTATGTGTGCCTGCGTCGGCCACATAGGCTACAAAAGAATTGCAGTGCATGCATCCAATCTATTTAGTCAGGCAATGTCCACATTATTCACACATATTTTAGAATGTAATAATACTTTGAATATCAATGCATTGGCAAGGCCTAAAATATTAATTATTCTTAAAGTGGTAATGGCCTACTTTTTTGACACTTTTTGCATGCACTTTGTGGGGACGGGGGGTTCTATATTAGGCCCTATATGTACAATTATATAAATTGTACAATTGTATAACTTTGAGGTCCTTGAAAATTACAATTAAGTGCTTGAAAAAGTCCCTGAAAGTCCTTGAATTTGACTTGCCAATGTCGGTATGAACCGTGCTTAAAGGATGTATAGTCCTAGGCCTATGTTGTTGTATACAGTGAGGGGAAAAAGTATTTGATCCCCTGCTGATTTTGTACGTTTGCCCACTGACAAAGACATGATCAGACTATAATTTTAATGGTAGGTTTATTTGAACAGTGAGAGAAAAGCGCATGTAAAAAAAATTATAAATTGATTTGCATTTTAATGAGGGAAATAAGTATTTGACCCCTCTGCAAAACATGACTTAGTACAAAACCCTTGTTGGCAATCACAGAGGTCAGACGTTTCTTGTAGTTGGCCACCAGGTTTGCACACATCTCAGGAGGGATTTTGTTCCACTCCACTTTGCAGATCTTCTCCAAGTCATTAAGGTTTCGAGGCTGACGTTTGGCAACTTGAACCTTCAGCTCCCTCCACAGATTTTCTATGGGATTAAGGTCTGGAGACTGGCTAGGCCACTCCAGGACCTTAATGTGCTTCTTCTTGAGCCACTCCTTTGTTGCCTTGGCCGTGTGTTTTGGGTCATTGTCATGCTGGAATACCCATCCATGACCCATTTTCAATGCCCCGGCTGAGGGAAGGAGGTTCTCACCCAAGATTTTACGGTACATGGCCCCGTCCATCGTCCCTTTGATGTGGTGAAATTGTCCTGTCCCCTTAGCAGAAAAACACCCCCAAAGCATAATGTTTCCACCTCCATGTTTGACGGTGGGGATGGTGTTCCTGGGGTCATAGACAGCATTCCTCCTCATCCAAACACGGCGAGTTGAGTTGATGCCAAAGCGCTCAATTTTGGTCTCATCTGACCACAGCACTTTCACCCAGTTCTCCTCTGAATCATTCAGATGTTCATTGGCAAACTTCAGACGGGCATGTATAGGTGCTTTCTTGAGCAGGGGGACCTTGCGGGCGCTGCAGGATTTCAGTCCTTCACGGCGTAGTGTGTTACCAATTGTTTTCTTGGTGACTATGGTCCCAGCTGCCTTGAGATCATTGACAAGATCCTCCCGTGTAGTTCTGGGCTGATTCCTCACCGTTCTCATGATCATTGCAACTCCATGAGGTGAGATCTTGCATGGAGCCCCAGGCCGAGGGAGATTTACAGTTATTTTGTGTTTCTTCCATTTGCGAATAATCGCACCAACTGTTGTCACCTTCTCACCAAGCTGCTTGGCGATGGTCTTGTAGCCCATTCCAGCCTTGTGTAGGTCTACAATCTTGTCCCTGACATCCTTGGAGAGCTCTTTGGTCTTGGCCATGGTGGAGAGTTTGGAAATGGATTGATTGATTGCTTCTGTGGACAGGTGTCTTTTATACAGGTAACAAACTGAGATTAGGAGCACTCCCTTTAAGAGTGTGCTCCTAATCTCAGCTCGTTACCTGTATAAAAGACACCTGGGAGCCAGAAATCTTTCTGATTGAGAGGGGGTCAAATACTTATTTCCCTCATTAAAATGCAAATCAATTTATAACATTTTTGACATGCGTTTTTCTGGATTATTTTGTTGTTATTCTGTCTCTCACTGTTCAAATAAACCTACCATTAAAATTATAGACTGATCATTTCTTTGTCAGTGGGCAAACGTACAAAATCAGCAGGGGATCAAATACTTTTTTCCCTCACTGTAGGTGGAGTTCTGGGCTAATTTGCATATATTCACTTTTATTCCTCTAAGTACACACGTGGGAACTGCATAAAAATCATTTTTATTTTTGTTTCAAACCATTTTGACATTTTGGATCCCAATGTCACACACTGGCCCCATTATTTATAGAAAGACCCATATGGGATCATATTCTAACCCTGATACATTTCTGTTGACTCCTTTAGACGCCATGTATCGGCTGAGTCAACAGCCATGTATATTACTCATATTCCAATACAAACAAACGCTCACATCTTGCTCATAATTTTTCTACCTCTCTCCTGACACATATTCAAATCTAGCCCTACACACACAAATTCCCTTGCACACAATGCCTAGGCCTAGACTGTATATTGAATGTACTTATATCTCCTTGCATTTCAGGTTTACATGCCAAATAAGAAAACCCAAAACATGCTTAAGAATGGGATTGCGATCAAGCGGGACTCGATCACGCATTTGACAGCCATGGACGAGGAGGGGTGGCTAACCCACAAACTGGGTTGCACCAATGGGCATGCCTTCTTCAGCCAGGACGGCTCAGACTACTACCCCCCTCCCCACGGCCAGAATGGATCGTCCCTCAGCGCCACGGGCCCCGAGCAGGATGAGCCAGAGGGCTACGAGAAGCGCGGCGTAGGATTGGACTTTGCCATCCTGGACAGCACCTTCCTCCTCTCTCAGGTCTTCCCCACTCTCTTCATGGGCATGATAGTTCAGTTCACAAAGTCTGTCACTGCCTATATGGCCTCCTCCGCCATTTTTGGCATCATTGCTATTTATCTGGCCAACCAGATCATCTTTGACCAAAAGGACCTCAATAGCTGAAAGAACCAGGAACCAGTAGTGAAGGAATGCACCCTTGGATGCACGACTGCTTCCAGCATGTAACGCTCCAGTGTTGTTGCTGGCCGTTGCCATGGCATCACCAATGCATTGCAATGAGGCAGCCGTCTGTACGTTTGTATGTATGTGTGTGGCAGAATTAAAGGAAAATGACAATTGTTACCTCCAGAGATTACTGCAGGCAGTTACTATGGCTACGAGAGAGAGGCATTAGCTGGTCTGTCGACGCTGTCTGTGTACTTAAGAGTGTCTCTCACCTTGTTCCCCTCAGTCACATAGAAGGCCGCTCAGAGAGGTCCCTTCTCCTTCTCCTCGGGTACAACTAGCTACACAGCTTGATCAGACTCCATCAGACCTTAGACAACTGAAATACAGACGTATTAACATTTTACTCTCATCTATGTGTGAAGTGGTGGAGTTTGTCAACATTATATCTTTAAAATAGTCTGCTCTTAGTCGAAGTCAACAGGAGATTATTGCTCACTTCTCATTCAGACTGGCCGCGGGAGATAGGAACAAGCCAATCTGGAGAGCCCATTACCTGCTTGGGAAAGAATCCGGTCTCACATAGCTACATGCTGCTACTCTAGGGCCATGTTTTGTTTGTTCTTATCAGCCAGGTTGTGCTTGCGGTCACAATTAGTGAGTTATGCATTACTCACAGAGACTTACATGTTATCACACACAAGTGATAAGTCAAATGAGATCATTGGACTTGTTCCTTGAAGAAACGGCGAATAGAAAAATTGGGAATGATAAGTGTCACTTGCCCCTAGTGTTGGATGTTTTTTGGTAATTAACAGGTTTATCATATATATTTTGCATATGAATACAGATATGTATATCCCTATGGGAATTTCTTATGTAACCTTTTTGGTAGAGGTCATCTGTGAGGTCATCTGTGTAACTGAGATGTTAGGATGAAGTTGTTCAAAGGTATCATTGCTTTTTTTTTAAGAACGTCTCATCTCAGGATATTCCCCTCTTTTCTAGAAATATCAGACAGTGCCATATAGTGCCATTCATTACAGAATCTCTACTGCCATTATGTTCAACATGATATGACAATCTAGGAAAGTAAATGAGGTTAATTATCCAACACTTTAAAAATCGAGGTACACTTAATATTCCCATGAGCAAAATACCAAAAAGTCAACACTGCAGCGATACTGTGAACTGGGTTACTGAAAATAGTTTTGGTATGATGACAGTTTTCTGTGTTCTGTGAATTTTTTTTAGACTTTGTTCTGTGTACCATACATCTCTTCTGAAGGTCAACGTGTGTGTGTGTGTGTGTGTGTGTGTGTGTGTGTGTGTGTGTGTGTGTGTGTGTGTGTGTGTGTGTGTGTGTGTGTGTGTGAAAGAGAGAGAATTTCAAAGTGCAAGTGTGAGTGCTGTGAAGAGAGCAGGGCAACATGGTATGACTTTGGATAAGTGCAGTCTCTCCTCACCTAAGAGAATACTGCAGACTTTCTGTATCTCATCCGTTGATGTATATTTAAATAGTAATTTACATTTTAGTAATTTAGCAGATACTCTTACCCAGAGCGACTTATAGTAGTGAGTGCATACATTTTCGTACTTTTTCGTAACCAAACATAATTTAATAGCCCATTTATGCAATGATGAGGTTGCTAAATACAGTTGGCCCTATTGGATATACAGTGCATTCGGAAAGTATTCAGACCCCTTGACTTTTTCCACATTTTGTTACGTTACAGCCTTATTCTAAAATTGATTAAATTGTTTTTTCCCCCTCATCAATCTACACACAATGCCCCATAATAACAAAGCAAAAACAGGTTTTTATAAATTTTTGCAAATGTATATATTTTTTTAAAACCGGAAATATCACATTTACATAAGTATTCAGACCCTTTACTCAATACTTTGTTGAAGCACCTTTGACAGCGATCACACCCTCGAGTCTTCTTAGGTATGACGCTACAAGCTTGGCACACCGGTATTTGGGCAGTTTCTCCCATTTTTGTCTGTAGATCCTCTCAAGCTCTGTCAGGTTGGATGAGGAGTGTTGCTGCACAGCTATTTTCAGGTCTCTCCAGAGATGTTTGATCGGGTTTAAGTCCGGGCTCTGGCTGGGCCACTCAAGGACATTTAGAGACTTGTCCCGAAGCCACTCCTGCGTTGTCTTGGCTGTGTGCTTAGGGTTGTTGTCCTGTTGGAAGGTGAATCTTCGCCCCAGTCTGAGGTCCTGAGCACTCTGGAGCAGGTTTTCATCAAGGATCTCTCTGTACTTTGCTCTGTTCATCTTTCCCTCGATCCTGACTAGTCTCCCAGTCCCTGTCGCTGAAAAACATCCTCACAGCAAGATACTGCCACCACCATGCTTCACCGTAGGGATGGTGCCAGGTTTCCTCCAGACGTGACGCTTGGCATTCAGGCCAAAGAGTTCAATCTTGGTTTCATCAGACCAGGGAATCTTGTTTCTCATGGTCTGAGAGTCTTTAGGTGCCTTTTTGGCAAACTCCAAGCGGGCTGTCTTGTGCCTTTTACTGTGGAATGGCTTCCGTCTGGCCACTCTACCATAAAGACCTGATTGGTGGATTGCTGCAGAGATGGTTGTCCTTCTGGAAGGTTCTCCCATCTCCACAGAATAACTCTGGAGCTCTCTGAGTGACCATCAGGTTCTGACCAAGGCCCTTCTCCCCAGATTGCTCAGTTTGGCCGGGCGACCAGCTCTAGGAAGAGTCTTGGTAGTTCCAAACTTCAGAAATGTTTTGGTACCCTTCCCCAGATCTGTGCCTTGACACAAATCTGTCTCAGAGCTCTACAGACAATTCCTTCGACCTCATGGCTTGGTTTTTGCTCTGACATGCACTGTCAACTGTGGGACCTTATATAGACAGGTGTGTGCCTTTCCAAATCATGTCCAATCAATTGATTTTACCACAGGTGGACTCCAATCAAGTTGTAGAAACATCTTTAGGATGATCAATGGAAACAGGATGCACCTGAGCTCAATTTCGAGTCTCATAGCAAAGGGTCTGAATACTTATGTAAATAAGGTATTTCGTTTTAAAAAATTTAATACATTTGCAGAAAATCTAAAAACCTGTTTTCGCTTTGTCATTATGGGGTATTGTGTGTAGATTGATGAGGGAAAAAAATATTAATCAGTTTTAGAATAAGGCTGTAACGTAACAAAATGTGGAAAAAGTCAAGGGTTCTGAATACTTTCCGAAGGCACTGTATACTCTCATTTTGAGAATAGAGTCGAAAAGAATGTGTTTTTTTGCCTCAAGTGTAATATTTATTGGCAGTTAGTGACACTCTTAATCAATGAAAACCAATTAGTAGACAGACAGGTTAACTTTTTTTTTTAAATAAAAGATGACTGAGGAAATTCCCCCCACACACAGACAATACTTATCTGACTTACTGTAGAACATAAGGACATACTGCCAGACCGCTTGGAAAAATAAGTCAATTTTGCAAGTGCCTCTACTACAAATGTCAGCATTTTTTGTACATAAATATGTATTTATTGTTCTTTAAAAATCATAAGCACATATTAAAGTATTTTTCCTTATTTTCATTGCATCTGTCAAAGGTGTAAGGTGCAAAAGCTATTTCTGTGAAAAAATGATAAATTATAATTTTGTATAGATGTGGCATAAAGACATCTTCTGCGCTATAATTTATTGGAATATTCTTCCATCCCACTCTTTCATCGTTGGCTGCTTACTCTCAGATAGCTTATTGATCTCGACTGCTGTCAATATTTCCCTATAGGATTGCAAATAAATAATAAATACATTTCATTTTAGTTCTGTAGGTTGTGAGGAATCGAACTCAAGTCACAAAGTTGATGATTTACTGGTTGACCATGCAGAATAGTACACTCATAATATTTAAAAACATTGTTTTGTTTTGTTTTTAAGTTGTTTTTCTTTTTTTTCATCCTGACCATTTCCTGTATTAGTTCTGGTTTTAAGGGAGCAACTTTGCTGAATGTGCATTTCCTGATGATGACTAATGCCTGTGCAAAGTATGGTAAACACCTCCTGTATCATTATTTATTTGTAAATATGAAGTAGTCAATACTGTTGCATCTGGATCAATTATAACCATTATTCCTCTGTTTTGAGTTCCTCCCATATTAAGTTTCGTTGATATTTCTTAGACATAAGTAACCATTGAATTTCAACAAGTTAGCAAGTGTTGTGGTCCTTTATTTGTCCAAATGCCCAGTGTTTGAGTTAGTTGTGCTTCATGATAGCAAGTGCCAAGGATCTTCACATTGGGCCTATTTGCCGATGACTGTATGATTATGAATCTGCTATTATGTCCTCAGTTTTCACTGATGCTCCAAATGTGTTGTCCTTGGCGTTTTCAGCCTTCATAGAAATCAAATCATTTTTATTATAAATCCAGATTGGGTATCATTGTGCAGTCACCAAATATATTTGTATACAAATAAATGTACTGCATTGTAAAATGCTTGTCAGAGATGTTGTATGTCACTAAGAAGAACTTTGTACAGTCTGTGAAAATGATTTGAACTATGGTCAATGATGGTTGCGCATGAAGCACAGTTAAAACCTTGGAAATAGCGCCATCCATCGGAATTTCCAACCAAATGGATGACATTTATTAAGGGGTCCGGTGGAAGCGCGCAAATGTATATAATCTATTGATGTATAGGCATGCTCCATGGTGGCGTTACAAAGAAAATATGATATGCTTTTATGTTTCAGGCCAGGGGAAGGAATAGGCTATGAGAGACGTTTCGGGGTAACCGAAATACGCACCACAGTGCTCATGAATGCAACCTACTTTAATTGTAGCTAAAATAATAATTGGTTGAAAAAGTTAATAAACATGCAGCATATGATGTGGCCTGCAAGGGTGCCATTGCTCTCCGGTGACAAGTGGACCGTTTTTTACACCTTCCTTCTAAATAAGGAAGCAACCTGTCAGACATATGACCACCGACCCAATTTGGGAGCTGCCAAAGTGTCCATCGTGTCCCGCAGTTGCTTAACGCCACCCAATGAGGTCTCTCCCTTCCTCGGTTTCACGGGCGCTGTGACAGTGTTCCGTTGAACTCTCCACAGACTAGGCACTGCAGTTCAGCGACTCTTTTCTTGCTTGCTTGCAACTTCACTCTCTCCATCCTCGGCCCTTGTATTATTCGACTGGGCAGCGGTGAAGTCAGCATGACGTCATCTAGAGATGCGATAGCCTGGCAAGGTGAAACAAGGTTTTGGTGAGTGCTATTCTCCACGGCCTGCGTTGCCTACAGAGAGAGAGAGAGAGGCGCGGAGCTGCAAAACATGGTAATCATCATCGCCACCACCTCAAGATCTGCCGTGCACTCTCCTATTTCTACTCCTCTGCACTGGGGCTCTCGTTTCATACCCAGAGTTCAGATCTGCGTTACAAAAATAATCCTCTGCCAGCATGCCGAAGGAAGAAAAACAAGAAGAGTGGTATTTTTAGGGCCATTAATTCTGACCACGTGCCCCGAAGGTACACCGGAAGGCCATTGCGCAAAGTCTCCTCATCAGTATGTCCTACGAGGCCAGCACGCACTGGACGTTGATTGCGATTGTTCTCTTGGGGTTCCTAGTGGGGATTGCGTCATCATATCCTATTCCAAGCAGGACAAATGCAACTTTATTGGAGAAAAGATGGGAGACCCTCTTCTCCCGCTCCATTCTGGGCATCTCGGGGGAGAGATCGGACCTGAACTGGGAGAGTGACTATTTGCTAGGTATCAAAAGAGTCCGGAGGCTCTACTGCAACGTGGGCATCGGGTTTCACCTCCAGGTCCTCCCAGACGGCAGGATTAATGGTGTACATAATGAAAACCAGTACAGTGAGTTGCTTCCACAGATGTAGTAATGCAATAGACATCACATGAAGGGGTCGTCAATAATTATGCATCTAACAGCGGCTATAGCCCATATTTTGCATGATGTGTAATAAGCCGCGAAGGGAGCATTGGATTACTTCTAGAGCAAAGACAGATCTATTAAAAACACTATCCACCAGTGCTAAATATCTCCCAAAGCTCAAACATGACATGAATGTATGGACGTATTTAGACACTGGCTCCTACAGCGGCCCAGAAACGAACAGTCACCGACACCTTACACTTCCAAAAGGGCAATTATTACATGATAGCCTAAGCTCTGCAAATATCGAAAATTGGACGTGGGAATGAATATAGAACAAAGACTCAGCATCCTGCGTAGCAACCTGCAAGGTTACACCCACAGACGTATTGCACATGCTAGCTATAGCCTAGCCTACAACCATTTTGAACCATATTTTGTGCCAATCTGATCGGATGTGTTTTTCCAATATCTAATATCTGGTATTTTGTTCAATTAGGTCTATTAGAGATCTCAACTGTAGAGCGAGGAGTGGTTAGCTTGTATGGGGTGAGAAGTGAGCTGTTTGTCGCAATGAATGGCCGAGGAAGGTTATACGGAACGGTAGGTATGCACAGTATTACATTTATTGTCCTGCAATATTTGTTTTAATGGTTCCGCGTGGCATTTGCTATTATGACTGATCGGGTTTTATTTGCATGTCATTTAAAGCGATTGGGTGTGCCGATCTTAACATGTGCCGTAAATTATGTGATAAGACATATGCTAGTGGAATGCTATTTTGTTATTTTCGATGGTTCATTATATATATATATATATATATATATATATATATATATATATATATATATATGTTTACCCTTTCTTATTATGCATTCGTATGAAATTGTAGGCAGTAAATGAGCTAGGGGCCTGTTCATGGTCGACTTGCCTTGGGCAATAATGATGAGGTTAACAGACGCATAATTGTGTCACGCTCTGTAATATGGCCCTGCGTGCGGGGGAAAGACCCCCGACACTCCAGAACCTGTCATCGGGACTTGGGACCATATGAAATTCATCCTTTGAAGATTAATATTATTTACATGTTAGGTTACACTTGTAGGCTATGCCTATCACTGAAGCCCCGTTTATAATTGGTGCTAATATGGGACCTTTGTCCTGATCTTGTCTACATTCTGATTGTGCCCACATTTCCAGAAATCTGTCTACACATGGTATTAAAATGGGTCTTATCCATCCACTGTGTCTGCATTGTGACCAGATTTCCTGGTCCCTTCATTTATGCAAATTATTTCAAACTAATATTTATTTATTGTAAGACACATATTGATGTAATCAGGCAATGGTGCCACCTGTCAATGATTTTAGAGGGCGGAATAATGATGATAATGGTTTCTTTGTCCAGATCTGTCTATACTTGTAAGATATCCACACACAATGCGTCACTGACTACCTCCGGAGATGGGCAGGATGACCTGATCACAATCAGATCACAATGTGTCTTTTGATTGTCTACACCTGTCTACAAATGTGGGCAAAATCAGAATGTGGACAAGAGCAGGACAAAGGACACAAGTTAGAACCAGGTATAAACGGGACTTGAGTGAAGTGCGTCCTATGGACATTGAACCAATAGTTTTGAGTTTGAGTTAGTCTCCAACAGGTCGATCAAGAGCTACCAGTAGCTCGCAGCCCACCTATGAGTAGCTCACCAAACAATTCTGAAACTACACTGAACAAAAATATAAACGCAACATGCTACAATTTCAAAGATTTTTACTGAGTTACAGTTCATATAAGGAAATCAGTCAATTTAAATAAATTCATTAGACCCTAATCTATGGATTTCACATGACTGGGAATACAGATATGCCTCTGTTGGTCACAGAAAGGTAGGGGCGTGGATCAGAAAACCATTCAATATCTGGTGTTACCACCATTTGCCTCATGCAGCGCAACACATCTTCTTCACATAGAGTTGATCAGGCTGTAGATTGAGGCCTGTGGAATGTTGTCTCACTCCTCTTCAATGGCTGTGCGAAGTTGCTGGATATTTTTTGGGAACTGGAACACGCTGTCGTACACGTTGATCCAGACCATCCCAAACATACTCAATGGGTGACATGTCTTGTGAGTATGCAGGCCATGGAAGAACTGGGACATTTTCAACTTCCAGGAATTGTGTACAGATCCTTGCTACATGGGGCCATGCATTATCATGCTGAAACATGAGGTGATGGCGGCAGATGAATGGCACGACAATGTCCTCAGGATCTCTTCACGGTATCTCTGGCATTCAAATTGCCATTGATAAAATGCAATTGTGTTCATTGTCCGTAGCTTATGCCTGCCCATACCATAACCTCACTGCCACCATGGCCACTGTGTTCACAGCGTTGACATCAGCAAACCACTCGCCCACACAACGCCATACGTCTGCCATCTGCCCGGTACAGTTGAAACCGGGATTCATCCGTGAAGAGCACACTTCTCCAGCATGCCATTGGCCATCGAAGGTGAGCATTTGCCCACTGAAGTCGGATATGAAGCCGAACAGCAGTCAGGTCAAGACCCTGGTGAGGATGAGGAGCACGCAGATGAGCTTCCCTGAGATGGTTTCTGACTGTTTGTGCAGAAATTATTAGGTTGTGCAAACCCACAGTTTCATCAGCTGTCCGGGTGGCTGGTCTCAGACAATCCTACAGGTGTTTAAGCCAGATGTGGAGGTCCAGGGCTGGCGTGGTTACATGTGGTCTGCGGTTGTGAGACCGGTTGGACATACTACCACATTTTCTAAAACGACGTTGGAGGTGGCTTATGGTAGAGAAATTAACATTCAGTTCTCTGGCAACAGCTCTGGTGGACATTCCTGCAGTCAGCATGCCAATTGCATGCTCCCTCAAAACTTGAGACATCTGTGGCATTGTGTTGTGTGACAAAACTGCACATTTTAGAGTGGCCTTTTATTGTTCCCAGCACAAGGTGCACCTGTGTAATGATCTTGCTGTTTAATCAGCTTCTTGATATGCCACACCTGTCAGGTGGATGGATTATCTTGGGAAAGGAGTAACGTTCACTCATTGGGATGTAAACAAATTAGTGCACAAAATTTGAGAGAAATAAGCTTTTTGTGCTTATGAAAAATGTCTGGGATCTTTTATTTCAGCTCATGAAACATGGGACCAACACTTTACATGTTGCGTTTATATTTTTTGTTCAGTATACATGCAATTTTCACGTGTTCTCACAAGGATCAGACACCGCAAGCTCCCAGCTGGCCTGCTATCTAATCAACGCAACATTGACATTATCCCACCCCTGGTTAGCCACTATTGGCCAAACCTAACACAAACCTGCCAATTAATTTCCAGCAATATTACCCGTCTGTCTGTGGTGCGCGCGTTTGTATATCACTCCGGGTGTAGCCAGTTGACCTGATAACCGTCTTGTGGCTTGACAGAAATACTTTCCCCAAAACCTTATAAATTAAATGTTAACTGCACTGCAAAGTAGGCTTACCTGGTAGAAGTATATCATGAATAAGTATATCATTTGTATGTGTTATTTGCAAACTTTGCCATGAAATGAGCAGCAGCAGTACAGAACCATGCTAGACCCACACGTTAGATGGCACATTCCTCACTTGCTAGATGCGCAATTAAAGGGGAATTACACTCATATCAAAATGTGTTCGTTTCTTCCAGACCCCCCAAAAAATTGTCTTCTGATGTGATTTAAGCATTGACATGGACTCAGAACGTTCCAATGTCATTGTTTCTCTATGAACAATTGTAATTTTGAGAGTTAAAAACAGAAAACATCTAAAACCAGGAAAAAGAAAACTGAGAAAACATAATTTGAGAAAAAAAATCACAGATTGTATAGGGCCCCCCTTAGAGTTGTTTATTAACCATTATTGTTCCAGGTATATTGACAGAAACAGTGCACTACTTTCTCTTGTACAGTCGTGGTCAAAAGTTTTGAGAATGACACAAGTATTGGTCTTCACAAAGTTCGCTGCTTCAGTGTTATGAGATATTTTTGTCAGATGTTACTATGGTATACTGAAGTATAATTACATGCATTCCATAAGTGTCAAAGGCTTTTATTGACAATTACATTAAGTTTATGCAAAGAGTCAATATTTGCAGTGTTAACCCTTCTTTTTCAAGACCTCTGCAATCCGCCCTGGCATGCTGTCAATTAACTTCTGGGCCACATCCTGACTGATGGCAGCCCATTCTTGCATAATCAATGCTTGGAGTTTGTCAGAATTTGTGGGTTTTTGTTTGTCCACCCGCCTCTTGAGGATCGACCACAAGTTCTCAATGGGATTAAGGTCTGGGGAGTTTCCTGGCCATGGACCCAAAATTTCGATGTTTTGTTCCCCGAGCCACTTAGTTATCACTTTTGCCTTATGGCAAGGTGCTCCATCATGCTGGAAAAGGCATTGGTCGTCACCAAACTGTTCTTGGATGGTTGGGAGAAGTTGCTCTCGGAGGATATGTTGGTGCCATTCTTTATTCATGGCTGTGTTCTTAGGCAAAATTGTGAGTGAGCCCACTCCCTTGGCTGAGAAGCAACCCCACACATGAATGGTCTCAGGATGCTTTACTGTTGGCATGACACAGGACTGATGTTTTTCCTGGAGAGAAGTGGCTTCTTTGCTGCCCTTCTTGACACCAGGCCATCCTCCAAAAGTCTTCGCCTCACTGTGCGTGCAGATGCACTCACACCTGCCTGCTGCCATTCCTGAGCAAGATCTGCACTGGTGGTGCCCCGATCCAGCAGCTGAATCAACTTTAGGAGACGTCCTGGCGCTTGCTGGACTTTCTTGGGGACCCTGGCGCCTTCTTCACAACAATTGAACCTCTTTCCTTGAAGTTCTTGATGATCCGATAAATGGTTGATTTAGGTGCAATCTTACTAGCAGCAATATCCTTGCCTGTGAAGCCCTTTTTGTGCAAAGCAATGATGATGGCACGTGGTTAACAGAGGAAGAACAATGATTTCAAGCACCACCCTCCTTTTAAAGCTTCCAGTCTGTTATTCTAACTCAATCAGCATGACAGAGTGATCTCCAGCCTTGTCCTCGTCAAACACTCTCACCTGTGTTAACGAGAGAATCACTGACATGATGGCGGCTGGTCCTTTTGTGGCAGGGCTGAAATGCAGTGGAAATGTTTTTTTGGGATTAAGTTCATTTTCATGGCAAAGAGGGACTTTGCAATTAATTGCAATTCATTTGATCACTCTTCATGACATTCTGGAGTATATGCAAATTGCCATCATCAAAACTGAGGCAGCAGACTTTGTAAAAATTAGTATTTGTGTCATTCTCAAAACTTTTGACCACGACTGTACACTAAGGACCCGGGAAAGAGTTGCAGGGGAGAAGGGAAGAATGTGCCTATTTGAAAGCTAGAAAAAAAATAGTAGCTTGCGACATTTTTCATTTTTTAAAAGTTGCTTTCAAAGGTTGGAGACCCCTGCATTAGGGTATCTCTGACGGACGTCATCAGCTCCCTGTCTTGTCGATAGTCCCAGCACATGCTGTCTTTTCACAATTTATAATAGCAGAAAATTGTCAAAAAGGTTCACACATCATGTATATCCAATAAACACTCTGAAAAATATTGTTAGTGAAATGTTTATTAAGATAGACAAATACGATTCACAATGAACAACGTGCAAGGTGAGCAAAAGAAGGCCCATGCAGCTCTCCAATTGCGCATGAATGAACATCACCAAAAGGATACAGTTACATAGTGTATGCAATTAACAACATGTTTACATTAAAATACATACAGTGGCTTGCAAAAGTATTCACCCCCCTTGGCATTTTTCCTATTTTGTTGCCTTACAACCTGGAATTAAAATGGATTTTTGGGGGGGGGTTGTATCATTTGATTTACACAACATGCCTACCACTTTGAAGATGCAAAATATTTTTTTGTGTGAAACAAACAAGAAATAAGACAAAAAAACAGAAAACTTGACCATGCATAACTATTCACCCCCCCAAAGTCAATACTTTGTAGAGCCACCTTTTGCAGCAATTACAGCTGTAAGTCTCTTGGGGTATGTGTCTATAAGCTTGGCACATCTAACCACTGGGATTGTTGCCCATTCTTCAAGGCAAAACTGCTCCAGCTCCTTCAAGTTGGATGGGTTCCGCTGGTGTACAGCAATCTTTAAGTTATACCACAGATTCTCAATTGGATTGAGGTCTGGGCTTTGACCTTAAACCACTCAAGTGTTGCTTTAGCAGTATGCTTAGGGTCATTGTCCTGCTGGAAGGTGAACCTCCGTCCCAGTCTCAAATCTCTGGAAGACTGAAACAGGTTTCCCTCAAGAATTTCCCTGTATTTAGTGCCATCCATCATTCCTTCAGTTTCCTAGTCCCTGCCGATGAAAAACATCCCCACAGCATGATGCTGCCACCACCACCATGCTTCACTGTGGGTATGGTGTTCTCAGGGTGATGAGAGGTGTTGGGTTTGTGCTAGACATAGCATTTTCCTTGATGGCCAAAAAGCTCAATTTTAGTCTCATCTGACCAGAGTACCTTCTTCCATATGTTTGGGGAGTCTCCCACATGCCTTTTGGCGAACACCAAATGTGTTTGCTTATTTTTTTTCTGGCCACTCTTCCATAAAGCCCAGCTCTGTGGAGTGTACGGCTTAAAGTGGTCCTAAGGACAGATACTCCAATCTCCGCTGTGGAGCTTTGCAGCTCCTTCAGGGTTATCTTTGGTCTCTTTGTTGCCTCTCTGATTAATGCCCTCCTTGCCTGGTCCGTGAGTTTTGGTGTACGGCCCTCTCTTGGCAGGTTTGTTGTGGTGCCATATTCTTTAACATTTTTAATAATGGATTTAATGGTGCTCCGTGGGATGTTCAAAGTTTAGGATATTTTTTTATAACCCAACCCTGATCTGTACTTCTCCACAACTTTGTCCCTGACCTGTTTGGAGAGCTCCTTGGTCTTCATGGTGCCGCTTGCTTGGTGGTGCCCCTTGCTTAGTGGTGTTGCAGACTCTGGGGCCTTTCTGAACAGGTGTATATATACTGAGATCATGTGACACTTAGATTGCACACAGGTGGACTTTATTTAACTAATTATGTGACTTCTGAAGGTAATTGGTTGCACCAGATCTAATTTAGGGGCTTCATAGTAAAGGGGGTGAATACATTTGCACGCACCTCTTTTCTGTTATTAATTTTTTTGAATTTTTTGAAAGAAGTTATTTATTTTTATTTAACTTCACCAATTTGGTCTATTTTGTGTATGTCCATAACATGAAATCCAAATAAAAATCAATTTAAATTACAGGTTGTAATGCAACAAAATTAGAAAAACGCTAAGGGGGATGAATACTTTTGCAAGGCACTGTACTCCAGTATTTTGGCAACTAATAAAGTATTTTTTAAACCTCCCGCTTTGGGCTGGATGTGTCAATGTGTAGTTCATACATGCATAATCTATGAGCAGAATTACTGTCTTACCTCAATCACCCACGAAATCCCTAGTTTGAAAGTGACTGTTTTCTTGAAGCTGTGTCGTGCCATTTTCCCTACATTTCCTGCCACGTGGGCCAGCCCCCTAGCATTTCGATTTCTAGCCAATGAGCTTCAGCCCCTCAAGCATTTGAGTGACAACTAGCAAGAGGTCTGCCCAGCGTTATCCAATGAGGTTGCAGGGTGGGCCTAAGGGCTCAGTGGACACAGCAGAGCGAGAGCAATGACGTGGTGCACATATCTGCACATATGTGACGTAGTACGCAATCTTCGGGGACCACTTTTGGTTTGTGAGTGCTACTTTCAGAACTACTGGCTAAAAAGTATACAAAAGTACCGGATAATCTCTTTAATTATTGCACTAATAACCCATTGGTGAATAGGCTAATTAATGACCCATATGGTTGAGAAATAAGTTGTACAGCAGTGCTACCTGTGTGTAATACTCAGTCATTGACGTTTTAAAAGGAGAGTTCACCCAGGGAATAAGCAAACCAACATTTGTTTTTGTTCAGTTAGCTGCAGCTTAGCATTGTCTTCATCAAGCACAAACTATGGGAGTGGTAGGCAAGGCCCCTGTTAGTATGCTCCCAATAGCATGTGTAAACCACTCCAAAACAGCAACATTCACAGTACTTTTTTTATATTTTTATATTGAGGGAGTATGATATTTCAGGATGATCTCAGTCGATTCCAAGTTTTTATTGTAGTTTTCAATAAAAAAGAGAGCATGCTGTAATTTTGGTTAGGTATCCCCTCAAGGACATACATGTACGGTCTGATAAACAATTTTGTTTATTAGGAATTTTGGATGGAGCAAGAGATGTGCTAATCTTCAGAGACAAAGGTTTACAGGTTCTTCCATCAACCCCAAATTTGCTACAATATGTTAGTGTATGGCTCCCCTACTTTACATGTGAACCAATTCTGGATGAGGATGAAATGTATGCATGGCGAGTATTTTTTCTGTGCATCTTGTACAACTGTATCAAACTGGTAACTGTGAAACTAAACTTGGCCATACTTTTTTCTTTGACCTTTTCTCCTTTGCTATTTTCAGACAGTCTTCCATGATGAGTGCAAGTTCAGAGAGAGCATGCTGCCAAACAACTACAATGCCTATGAGTCTTCCGTTTACAGAGGCTCCTACATTGCTCTCAGCAAGCATGGCCGTCTGAAGAGAGGCAACAAGGCCACCACTGCCATGACTGTCACACACTTCCTCCCCCGAATATGAGCAGAACTGGCAATAACTCACTTATTTGCACATGTGGATTGTTGTCCAGGTAACATTATACTGTATACACCAATACAAATGGACTGCAAAAGAAAGAAATACCATTATATGATAGTATTTATTCAGTCTTTATATGTATATTTCGGTAGCTTACTTTGTATTAGAACTCATGGAAATGCCATTAATTGCTGCTTATTATTTTAATCAGTATTATATAAGGGGATGGAGAAGCTTCATCTGTCCCCTTCACTTTATATGGGTGCTTGCCATACATAAATGGTGGAGACCTTGCCCTGTCAGTGGATGACAGCTCAGCTCAGCCTCTAGAAGTGAAATGGATACTTTTTATTACCTCAAAGCGCCACGTCCCAAATTAAATAATGTGTGCATGATATTTCTACTGAGAAGAATGCCTGTTTACTTTGAACTTTTGTGATTATCCATCAAGGACTCTACATTTTCCATAATCTGTGTCAACATTATATCATTGTCTAGTAAGGGCAACTAGAGCGCTTACCAAATATTTGTTTTCTTGCTTTGTGATGAGGTGGTGGCTGCCTTTGATTCCTACTTGCGGCTCCTTCCCTTGCATGCGAGAAACGCTCCCCTCAGTCAGAAATAGGGATGGCATGCAAGTCATCACTCCCTCATGCTCCGGGGGGCTTTAGCCCAATTCCTAGAGGGCCAAAAGTATCTTCAGTTTATTTTCTTTCCAGAATGAGATCAGTTAAGTAATTGAGACTGTGTCAGATAGGCCAGGCCCCTCAGGAGCTCACAGCCATTGGTGTGGGAAGCTAGAACTGGAGACCCACCATCCTAGGGGGACTTTGACAATCCTGACTTTTATGAGGCTAGATGGTTTTATGAGGCTAAGTGTGAGATGGTTTGATGTTTAGACCAGATTGAAATGTGTGTGTGTCTTGTCTTGGACTAACTGGGAGCCTGCTGTATCGATCAAACAGTTTGATTAGTTTTTAAACTGATGAGGGTTGAAACCTTAACTTATCCGCTGGTTTGAACATTTTTTTTTAGCACTTTTACAGTATCTCCATTTCTGCAGTAAATGTCGAGCTGCATAAAAATAGTGCTTGTTTTCACGTTCACTCTACATTATTTGAAATAATGTAAATATTCCTATTAATTTTTTTTGAGAAGGGATGCTTATTTCATGCAACTAAGATTTGCTAACAATATTTCAGGTAACTCAATCTGGCTAGTATATCTAATATCTGATATTTAGATAATAAGGATTGTACTCATACGTACCTGTTTCTCTCTTTCATTGTTTAAACTGGTTATGAAGTTGTAAGATCTTGTGTGAAAGAAAAACAGAAGCAATGTCTCAAAGCAATTCACCAAAGGCTTACAGTAGTGATGTTTGGACTTTGTACAGTATGCAGCATACTTGAAGTCAATGCTTGCTTGCTCTCCTCCTCGAATACTGTACGTTTCCATAGTGGAGGGAAACAAATATACAGGGCTGTACTGACATGCAGAAGAGGGCTTATATGGGACCGTGCATGTGGCACCCATTGTTGTTTTAACCTACTGAAGATGCAGATTATGTTGGACAAGCTACTCCCCAAATACCTGAGCAGACCCCCCTTGGCCAGTTGACACTGTAAAACCCTTTGTTCAACAGCGGTCTTGAGATTCCAGAAGTATCCTTCCTCTCCCATCTGGAGCCATTTTAGTCCACGTCAGAGTCATAGACCTCTTTCACTGTGTCTAAGCACGTGGTGTTCAGGTTGACCCGGATCACTTTGCCCTTTTGACGCCACTTTGACCTACATTTGCTCTGTTATTCCTTTATTTATTTATGGATGGTGTGTAGCTCGATGAAAACCTTGCATGAATGACATAAGGTGATTTTTAGGTGTAAGTGGTTTGATTCTGTATCTCTCTTTGACTGGTCGTCAATGAGCATGGACTTATTGGGAATGGAGTGGCAAAATCTGATTTAAAGATTTCTCTTTGGCTATTACAATGCTATAAGTATGTTTAGTGCATCTGAGTAAAATCCATAGGAAAGGTCATCTTTGACCTCTTTTACCAACCTTTAACTTTACGCCTGTTAAATTCTTATTCCAACACAAGTACTTACAGTAGTAAGAAGAGACAGGCTGAGGCTTGATGCAGTGTCTGGTTGTGATGGAACACGGGAAGTATCTGCGTGAACAGCCATCATACTCCGTATTTGCCACAGCCAAAGAGAAAGCAGAGTTCCTATCAAATCAATTTACCAAGCTGAAATTGTCTCCATGTGCTAGCAAGGCACTGCTTCCATCAAGGAGGATAGCAGACAATGAAAATATGTAACACAAAGGCTGTTTTGGATGTGGACCGTTATGAGACAAAACATGATTTTATATGGATAACAAGTAGTGCTCTTGCTTGAACCATGGTGCTGAAGGGGTCTATGCCTTGAAAACAATTGGTGCTCCCAGGAGATATAGCTACTGTAATAGTTATGCAAGTTAAAAGTGTTGCTCAGTCTGCCAAGTAGAGTTATCTCTACAGCTAGCACCAGATCAAGCCCACTTTCATTGTCACAATGGAACTGAAACATATCCTCACCACCACCTATTCAGGATGATGATCAGTGATTGAGGAATGAATGAAAACAAGCTTTTCCACTGTCTTGCATGTGTCTGTGTGGGATGATAACGTAGCAGGATTCATGGTTTCGTTGAATTTGGATGGTGCGACATCTTATTTTCCATCCGTTCTCCCCAAAATGTAATCATAATAAGACATGCAATGTGAATGTTCATGAAGGTGAATAATATTTGTTTGGATTACAACATCCTTATCATTCTTTTTTTTTTTTTGCTGGTCCATATGGGCAACAGGAAATTATCATGACAACAAGCAAATACGTGAACTGAAATAGAGATATTTGGAAGTGTGAGAATGTGTCTCTGTCACAATGGCTTTTCATGTCATAAGGGGCACCTAGTTCAGTGTACACCTGTTAGGCCTAACCATAGGTCTTTGTACCAAATGTATTAAAGCTGCTTAAAGAGTGTTAGATACTCAAATGGTGTTCAAGCCTACAGTAACTTACAATACAGTGTGTTGCAGGCTCTCCAACTTGTGCAAAGGTGCTATGGGTGGTAGTGGATAAGGGAAGGGTGGTAGCGATTCTGTGTGTGTCCCTGTGTGTCAGCAGCCTAAGTTTGTGTGTCTCTGTTTTATATTCCTGCACTGAGGGTAGTGTGCTTCCTTCTGAATCCCCCTCCTCTTTTTAACATATACCTCACCTTCTGCCTTAGTTCCGATTTATTGAAATGATTGTAAATTAGTTTGAAATAACAGACTTCTCCAATCATTTGTTTCTGAAAAAAAATATGATGACAAGTAAGAATACTAATATATTAAAAATGGTTTTCCTTTTATTTTTGTACGTATGTGCTGTGCACAGCAGTCAACTGTATTCCTGAAATAATAATTAAAAAAATGTTTTTTATGGGTTGTTATTTTATGCCTATGGTTCATGTCAATTGTGAACTGGATTTAGAATGATTGAACCTCCTATGTGTTGATTTGGTCAAGGCCACCCTGAGTATTTTAGATTGAGAAGTAGGTTATACAGTATTCAAGACAAAATATGCCAGCGAGTTACATGGTTCTTTGTGGCAGTTGATAAGTAAATTGCACTATTTCAAGGAATATACTGCAATTCTCAACACACTCAAATTCCTTTGATATATGTGAGGCTGGGGCTCCCTCCTCTGGCAAAAAAAAATATGGCCACGTTTTGGGAAGAATATGGTTCCCCCAAACCACTGTGAAGGCGATTAGCAGAGAGCAGGAATGGCACATGGGCCAATTACCTTTAACCTTTAAGGTGAGGAGCGGTGGTGAAATTCCCTCGAAATGTAGGCTAAACGATTACATAATACATACATCATTCTGTTGAGCGTGACACCTGTTTTTTTTTAGGTTAAAGGGAGCATAATGTATTGTTAGCCGTGTTATCTAAAGAGTTTCTGAAACTCAAACTCACGTCCGGTCAGCCAATAAAGTCTCGACAGGGTTGGGCCAGTCACAGAGCTGTCAGTCTTCAAATAGGACCTTTAGCCTCTTTTCCCGTCAATTGTGTTCAACACTGCAGCTTGAGCACCTCAGGATTAGCGTGTGAACCGGAACATTTCCCCACCATGCACCCGGCTTTCTTCGTGATCTGGCTGGCGGCTCTACAACAATCCATTCCGGTGAATTGTTTCCCTGTACACATGGACCAGTCGACGCTACACAGGACAATCAAAGGAACCCGCACGCGCTCGGAGTCTGTCGATACAGAAGATTATTTATGGAAGGTGAATTTGAATGGACATGTAAAGAAAGCCATCTCCACAAACTCTCTCAGTAAGTGTATTTTTTATTAATAAACTATTTTCATACTACCCAGCTAGCACATTTGGTTCCTTGGAAGTTGTGGGAACCTATATTTTTGGTTCAGATGTGGCACCGCAGGTTCTAAAGTGGTGTGACAAAATTATTGTGTGTCTTTTCTGGGGCCTGGAGTTTTTCCTGATCTCATGACCTGGGCCCGGTTTCCTGATAGTGATGAAACTTAGGCTTACTAGTGTTTTAACAATGCATCTTTCCTACAGCATGCGTTTCCCCAAACACCACGCAGCGAGAATGTTCAGTAAGTGTGTGGTTGAGGCATGTGTCGATACTGATAGGATCAAAAGAAAGATCACTGCTCTTGGATCAGCATTCTCCCTTTCCAATCTTACCTTAACATTTGATTCATTATTCCACAATACTGACGATGGAACAGCTCCTAAAGATATTATCACCCATGGCATGGCAGGCTCTGTCGTAGCCGGCCGCGACCGGGAGACCCATGGGGCGGCGCACAATTGGCCCAGCATCGTCCAGGGTAGGGGAGGGAATGGCCGGCAGGGATGTAGCTCGGTTGGTAGAGCATGGCGTTTGCAACACTAGGGTTGTGGGTTCGATTCCCACGGGGGGCCAGTATGAAAAATAAAAAAATAATGTATGCACTCACTAACTGTAAGTCGCTCTGGATAAGAGCGTCTGCTAAATGACTAAAATGTAAATGTACAAATATTGAGGCGGCTTATTCTAATGCTTACCTTATAATAATGCACTAAATCAAGATTTGGCACATCATTGCATACATTACACAACATGAAATATATTGAGGCAAAAATGTCAGTAGTGTACAAATGGCTAAATAAAACTAAATTGAATTAACATACATTTATTTCAATATCATTCAAATATATAGGTCTATGTAGCCTATACTGTATTTATTTTAATACAGTCATCTGGGTTTTCATTTGAAGCGTCTTTATATCCTTCGCTTGTTATGCAAAGAAATGGGAAGCTTTGTATTTGTAGTCACATTCATTCTAAAGTTATCAGCAGTCACAAAGATGAATCTTGATTTTGTGTTTAACTTAAATCTTTTGTGTATAAAGTGACACGGAAGGGCAAAAAAGCATTCACAAAGTACTTAGCTGTTCGAGTGGTCTGAGGCAGTCGTTAAATAATGAGTGTTTTCAAGAGCAACTTTAGTAACGATGGTTTTATGAAACAGCTCGGAGGTCTAACGATGCTCCTACGAAGGTTCTAACGATGAACGTAGCCTTTAAATGGTTTTGGGAAACTGGGCCCAGGTCAGGTAAAACTCGGTCCTATTCGTAGGCTATGACAAAGTAGTATTATTATAGATACAGTAGCTTCCCTTTTCATCTGTGCTATGACTATGGGTCTGGAGGCTGTGCCATACACATTTATACTGTGCCATACACATTTATACTGTGCCATACACATTTCAAAATTATAAATGTTAGCTGCTGGCTGCATTACATTATTTTTACATTTTAGTCATTTAGCAGACGCTCTTATCCAGAGCGACTTACAGTTAGTGAGTGCATACATTTTCATACTGGCCCCCCGTGGGAAACGAACCCACAACCCTGGCGTTGCAAGCGCCATGCTCTACCAACTGAGCTACAGGGGACTGCATGATTGCGTCAATCTAGCTAGCTTATGTTAGCTAGCTATGAAGGAAGGAAAGGGGATACCTAGTCAGTTGCATAACTGAATGCATTCTACCGAAATGTGTCTGCCGCATTTAACCCAACCCCTCTGAATCAAAGATGTGCGGGAGGGCTGCCTTAATCGACGTCCATGTCATCATCGCAAGGGGAGCAGTTGTTGTTGGGGGTTAACTGCCTTGCTTAAGGGCAGATATCTAGCTAGGCTACTAAAGCTACAGTTAGTAGTTTTGTTAGCTAGCTATAGATAATTCTAACTAGTTTTAGAGGACAACTAAACTGCTTTTATTAACACATACCTTGTTTTCCATGAACATTTGTATACGCTCTCTCATGAGGCAGGCAGGAGAGGAGTCGTCACCAGTTAACACAGCCACAAAGTCATACACCCCGCCTATTTCTACATTTTCTCATCTTAAAATCATATTTTAACCCTAACCTTGACCACACTGCTAACCTTGTGCCAAACCCTAACCTTTAATGAAGACCAAGAAGCACATGTTTGTTTTCATGAATTTTTACGATATAGGCAATTCTGACTTTGTGGAGAGGAGCGTTCGCGAAGAAAGAAATCAAGTGCAAAGTCAAACAACGAGGTGCTAGTGCAATCAAACTAGTTGTTGAGAGGCGTGGTTGATGAGGCTCTGTAGGCTGTAGCTAGGAGACCACTGTGACTGAACCCACCTGTCGCAGCGAGCGTGGGGGTTACCACGTGAAATCCCAGGGACTTGACAAAACAGAAGCAAACGGGCTGTAATTGGGGGGAGGTACTATGTCAACTCGTCCAATAACAAACGCCAGCTTTCTTTTCCATTGCAAAACGTTTTTAAACCTGTTTGGTGCTGCTGCTTTGAAAGTGGTGCCACACCAGATTGGAAAGTACTGGGGCAAAAGCTGTCTCGCCACATGTTTCACATTGGTTGTAGGAACGAAGCCATACGTTTCCTGACTTGTAAAACATCACGTTTTTACGTTCTGAGAGCAGAAATGAAAATTTCGCCTGTTCTGGGAACGTTTATTTTTAGGTTGCAGGTGTAACAGTGTTGCTTCCGTCCCTCTCCTCGCCCCTACCTGGGCTTGAACCAGGGACCCTCTGCACACATCGACAACAGTCACCCTCGAAGCACCGCTACCCGTCGCTCCACAAAAGCCGCGGCCCTTGCAGAGCAAGGGAAACAACTACTTCTAGGTCTCAGAGCGAGTGACGTCACTGATTGAAATGCTACTAGCGCGCACCGCTAACTAGCTAGCCATTTCACACCGGTTACACAGGAAGGTTCTGAACGTTTTGCTCTGGTTCCTTAAATGTTTTCCTGGGAGGTTTTATTAACGCTCTGAGAACGGAAATTATAGGTTATTTTGAGTTTTCTGAATAACTTCCTTTAAAACTTTCATTGAATGTTTCAATAAGACTTTTAATAATGCTGCTAGCTTATTTTGGGTTAACCTTTTTTGAACTCCAAGCACAGATGGGACAATGGAAATTCATTTCCTTAAGCATTTTTATTGTGACAAGGCATCAGTGAGATTCTAAACTATACTTTTCTGTTCTCTATCCATGGAATTAGTCCACTGCGCCACCAGGATGGAGCTAGCATGTCATGTTTTCTTAACAATACATAGCTGTTCTTTTTAGTTGATCCAAACAGACCCTATTTCAAAGGAAACAAGCACACATTAAGATCAGGTGTGGCCAATTAGTGGGCATGGCCAACACACAAGATAGAGGATGGAGAGTTTTGTTGATGCTGAGAACGGAATGTATGTTTTTCAATAACATTCTTAAAACGGTCTCTGAAAGTTTTTCTTGTGGTTTTTATGGAAAGCTTTCTTAACATTCTCTTAACTATTTGAGAACATGACTTTTAAATAGAACCATGAGGAAACCTGTAGGAAACTTTATCCTTAAGTACTGAAATTCCCACAGAAGAATATTGTTTCTTAAAGTTCTTGGAACAATTTGAGAACACAACTTTAAATAGAACCACGAGGAAACTTTATGCTGAAGTACTGAAATTCCCACAGAAGAATGTTGTTTCTTAATGTTCTCTGAACTATTTCAATATTCCAAAACAGTTGGAGAACGTTCCTAGAACATTACCAAAATTGAAATTAATTGTAACCATGTTTGGAATTTTAGGAAAGGTTCTGTTAAAAACATTTTCTTGGCATTTCATTACTTTAACAGAACCTTTCCTAAAATTCCTGCACCATTCCCAGAAAGTTGTGGGAAGGTTGTATGCAAAATAACCGTAGGACAACCACACTCTCACCAAGCTCTAAGAAACATATGGTTCTCAGAAACGTTGTGCTAGCTAGCTGGGTATGCTTTATTTTATAGTTAACTTAATTTCACACACAGATTTCATTCAAGTTTTCACACACAATCTAAAGCAACTGTCCTGATGTCAAAATGAACTATTTATGATTGTTTAATCATTTACCAAAAGGAATAAATTGTCTGTCTATTTACAGTATGAAATTGTGACATGTTTTTTATTTTTCCATAGTTGTCCTCCCAATAAGAACGGAAACAAGTGACTTTGTGTCAATATTGGACTTGAAAAGTAAACACTTCTTATGTGTGGACGTCGAGGAAAAGTGGTTCAGTTCTGTAGGTATTGCATGGCAAGGTCATCCATGGATGGCCACTCTGGGAACAGTCAAATCTGCTCTCCCAACTCACTATTCACATTCATTTATTTTTGTAGAGTCACTTAACCTATTCATGTGAAATTAAAGTTGTGTTTCTGTTGTCACTCCCCACAAGATGATGTTCAGCAGGAAAGAGTGCCTTTTCCAGCACATGCGTATGGAGAACCATGTTGACGTGTTCTATTCATCCAGCAACGGACTGTTGCTCCTACTGGAAGGGGCTGAGATCCCTGTTAAAGGGTATGACTTGTTAAAGAGACGCATGGTTTACAGAAGGAAGAGGAGCCAACAGGAGAACTCCGATGCAGAGGACATCAAGGAGGATCAGGACCTGGCTATGCAACAGGACCAAGAACGAGCTGCCGCCATTTCCAAGGAGACCATCACTTCTTGTGACGACCCTTTGCAGGTATTGCATTCCAATAGCCCAGGCAGTCCTATCAAAATGGCTGTGGAAAAGACAGAGAAAGTGGCCCAGGGTGGTCTAGCGGTCTAAGCCGATGCATTCGGCACACGTCTATGGAGTCTGCATAGGTTTGAATCCGACCTACTGCCCTCTCTCTATCTTCCCCCACTGTCATTCTCTCTGTCTTAGGGGTAGGCAACCCTGTTCCTGGAGTGCTTGCAGGATTTTGTCCCAACTAGGCATCACACCAGACCAAATGAGCTAATTGATCAGTTCAGTGATTGATTAAATTCAACACACCTGGTCTTCCAGGTTGGTTAAATCAAAAACATGAAGTGCCTGCGGCACTCCAGAACCAAGGTTGTCTACTCCTGCTCTATCTGTTCAATAAAGTCAGAAAATAGCTTAAATATATATTTTATAAAAGGAAAAACTTGACTGGAAAGGCTAGAGAAATGGGCTATGAATTTGAAGCTGGTCTGGAAAATGTTTAAACTTTTTGCTAGATAACATTAAGGGATATACAGTATCTCCATGCACTAGTGCATCAATCCTCGTGAGTTTGTGATTTGGCAATCGTAGTCTGGATTGAGGGGGTCACAATACAACATGAGAGGGAGCATGTTAGATTGAAACAAGGAGGTGAATTAGAAAGATGATCAGTGATGGTCATGAGAAAGTCTTACAGTATATACTGAGGTAGTGCTTCCTAAGGTCAGGAATGAGTGGATGAGGATGGGTGGATGACACCATGTGTTTAGTGCAGTGACAAGCCAACCTTTTGGTTATGCAAGGGTGTGATGCACTTTTTCAGGGGCGGACTGGGACCAGAAATCGGCCCTGGCATTTGTAACACACCGGGCCATTTCTTTCCTCGAGGCCCTGACAGCGGCCAATTAATTGTTTTCCTTGTGGCCGCTATTCTTAGCCAGATAATGATCATTTTGAGCAAAAAAAAACTATTTAGGCAGGCCCACAAGGTTAAAAATATCGACTGGCCCATCTGGCATTTTGCCCAAAATGCCAGATGGCCAGTCCGCCCCCTGCACTTTATAAATATTGACATTGCAAAAGACTTTCAAACAGTTTGGTTTTCTCTCTGTCAAGGATGAAAGTCCAATCAAATTTATTGTAACGGCTGATCCTGAAAATGTGCAGGCTCATTATGAAATGGGCACTTCTTGTTTTTACGACAGCATATAAACAGTTCAGGTAGGTCACCCATCATTTCCTTTTCTACATTACTAGAGTCTTATATCAATTCATACAGAGAGACGTTTGAGTAGCAGTTGATGAGGGGCCTGTTAGGCAACATTCAACATCATTTTCCCTTTTTAGGGTAAGACTGGGTTGAACCAGTGTCATGATGTCCTTTAACCCCTTTAAAAAGTTACATTTTAAACTGGTTTGGCATTTAGCCTGATGATGTCGCAATAATTTGTTTGCATTAGATTTTGCTATGCATGTCAAAATGGACCAACATTTCTGTATGAAATATTGTAATTTACCAGTAAATGTTATTTGATACAACATTGCATTAATGCATTGTAACTTCTATTAATTGCAGACCATTTTTCAATAGATATGTAATGGATTTCCTATATTTTGTCAATCTATAGGTTGTGGTGGATGTTCACAATGTTTAAATATGGTAAATACATTATAAAAAAGTATGTGGACACCCCTTCAAATTAGACAGGCGTATAAAATCGAGCACAGCCATGCAATCTCCATAGACAAACACTGGCAGTAGAATGTCCTTACTGAAGAGCTCAGTGACTTTCAACGTGGCACCGTCATAGCTCAGCCGTGAAGTGGTAGGCCACACAAGCTCACAGAACAGGACCGCTGAAGCGCGTAGTGAATAACAATCGTCTGACTTCTGTTGCAACATTCACTACCGAGTTCCAAACTGCCTCTGGAAGCAACGTCATCACAAGAACTGTTCGTCGGGAGCTTCATGAAATGGGTTTCCATGGCCGAGCGGCCGCACACAAGCCTAAGATCACCATGCGCAATGCCAAGTGTCTGCTGGAGTGGTGTAAGGCTCGCTGCCATTGGACTCGGGAGCAGTGGAAATGCGTTCTGGAATAATGAATCACGATTCACCATCTGGCAGTCAGACGGACTAATCTGGGTTTGGCGGATGCCAGGGTAACGCTACCTGCCCCAATGCATGGTGCCAACTGTAAAGTTTGGTGGAGGAGGAATAATGGTCTGGGGCTGTTTTTCATGGTTCGGGCTAGGCCTCTTAGTTCCAGTGAAGGGAAATCTTCAGCATACAATGACATTCTAGACGATTCTGTGCTTCCAACTTTGTGGCAACAGTTTGGGGAAGGTCCTTTCCTGTTTCAGCATGACAATGCCCCCAGCATGACAATGCCCCCGTGCACAAAGCGAGGTCCATACAGAAATGGTTTGTCGATCGGTATGGAAGAACTTGACTGGCCTGCACAGAGCCCTGACCTCAACCCCATCGAACACCTTTGGGATGAATTGGAACGCCGACTGCGAGCCAGGCCTAATCGCCCAACATCAGTGCCCGACCTCACTAATGCTCTTGTGGCTGAATGGAAGCAAGTCCCCGCAGCAATGTTCCAACATCTAGTGGAAAGCCTTCCCAGAAGAGTGGAGGCTGTTATAGCAGAAAATGGGGGACCAACTCCATATTAATGCCCATGATTTTGGAATGAGATGTTCGACGAGCAGGTGTCTACATACTTTTGGTCATGTAGTGTATATCAAGGTTGTGTTTCGCAGTCACCCAGACCAAATGTTAGCTGGTGCTGGACACCATTAGGAGAAAGCAATGACCCATCACAATATAATATGTATTTATTAAATGTATTCACATATTGTTATTTATATTGTGTAATGTTTTGTATGGATGCACTGAACAAAAATATATAAACACAACATGCAACAATTTCAAAGATTTTACTGAGTTACAGTTCATATAAGGAAATCAGTCAATTGAAATGAATTCATTAGACCCTAATCTATGGATTTCACATGACTGGGAATACAGATATACAGTTTAAGTCGGAAGTTTACATACACTTAGGTTGTAGTCATTAAAACTTGTTTTTCAACCACACCACAAATTTCTTGTTAACAAACTATAGTTTTGGCAAGTCGGTTAGGACATCTACTTTGTGCATGACACAAGTAATCTTTCCAACAATTGTTTACAGACAGATTATTTCACTTATAATTCACTGTATCACAATTCCAGTGGCTCAGAAGTTTACATACACTAAGTTGACTGTGCCTTTCAACAGCTTGGGAAATTCCAGAAAATGATGTCATGGCTTTAGAAGCTTCTGATAGGCTAATTGACGACATTTGAGTCAATTGGAGGTGTACCTGTGGATGTATTTCAAGGCCTACCTTCAAACTCAGTTCCTCTTTACTTGACATCATGGGAAAATCAAAAGAAATCAGCCAAGACCTCAGAAATTTTTTTGTAGACCTCCACAAGTCTGGTTCATCCTTGGGAGCAATTTCCAAACGCCTGAAGGTACCACGTTCATCTGTACAAACAATAGTACGCAAGTATAAACACCATGGGACCACGCAGCTGTCATACCGCTCAGGAAGGAGACGCGTTCTGTCTCCTAGAGATGAATGTACTTTGGTGCGAAAAGTGCAAATCAATCCCAGAACAACCGCAAAGGATCCTGTGAAGATGCTGGAGGAAACGGGTACAAAAGTATCTATATCCACAGTAAAACGAGTCCTATATCGACATAACCTGAATGGCCGCTCAGCAAGGAAGAAGCCACTGCTCCAAAACCGCCATAAAAAAGCCAGACTACGGTTTGCAACTACACATGGGGATGAAGATCGTACTTTTTGGAGAAATGTCCTCTAGTCTGATGAAACAAAAATAGGTCCGTTTGGCCATAATGACCATCGTTATGTTTGGAGGAAAAAGGGGGTAACTTTCAAGCCGAAGAACACCATCCCAACCGTGAAACACAGGGGTGGCAGTATCATGCTGTGGGGGTGCTTTGCTGCAGGAGGGACTGGTGCACTTCACAAAATAGATGGCATCATGAGGAAGGAAAATTATGTGGATAAATTGAAGCAACATCTCAAGACATTAGTCAGGAAGTTAAAGCTTGGTCGCAAATGGGTCTTCCAAATGGACAATGACCCCAAGCATACTTCCAAAGTTGTGGCAAAATGGCTTAAGGACAACAAAGTCAAGGTATTGGAGTGGCCATCACAAAGCCCTGACCTCAATCCTATAGAAAATGTGTGGGAGCAAGGAGGCCTATAAACCTGACTCAGTTACACCAGCTCTGTCAGGAGGAATGGGCCAAAATTCACCCAACTTATTGTGGAAGGCTCCCCAAAACGTTTGACCCAAGTTATACAATTTTAAAGGCAATGTTACCAAATACTAATTGAGTGTAGGTAAACTTCTGACCCACTGGGAATGTGTTGAAAGAAATAAAAGCTGAAATAAATCATTCTCTCTACTATTATTCTGACATTTCACATTCTTAAAATAAAGTGGTGATCCTAACTGACCTAAGACAGGGAATTTTTACTAGGATTAAATGTCAGGAATTGTGAAACACCTTAGCCAAATACATTTAAACTCAGTTTATGTAAACTTCTGACTTCAACTGTACATCTGTTGGTCATAGATACCTTAAAAAAAAGCTAGGGGTGTGGATCAGAAAACCAGTCAATATCTGGTATGACCACAATTTGCCTCTGCAGCGCAACACATCTCTTTTACATGGAGTTGATCAGGCTGTTGATTGTGGCCTTTGGAATGTTGTCCCACTTGAATGGCTGTGCGAAGTTGCTGCATTATCGTGCTGAAACATGAGGTGATGGGCCTCAGGATCTCGTCACGGTATCGCTGTGCATTCAAATTGCCATCGATAAAATGCTATTGTGTTCGTTGTCCGTAGCTTATGCCTGCCCATACCATAACCCCACCGCCACCATGAGGCACTCTGTTCACAACGTTGACATCAGCAAACCGCTTACCCACACGACGCCATACACGTCTGCCATCTGCCCGGTACAGTTGAAACCGGGATTCATCCGTGAAGAGTACACTTCTCCAGCATGCCAGTGAGCATTTGCCCACTGAAGTCGGTTACGAAGCCTAACTTCAGTCAGGTCAAGACCCTGTTGAGGACGATGCGCACGCAGATGAGCTTCCCTGAGATGGTTTCTGACAGTTT